AGACCACGGGAAAGATAAGCATATAGAGAAGCCAAATGATCGGAAGCAAAGGGTCAATAGTCGAGAGCGATATCCAGAAAAGAGGGGTGCTAGCGATAGGCATGAATCAAGTGACAGAAATAGATCCAGGGAGAGAGATATGCATCGAGAAAATAAAGCAAGACACTCCAGTGGGCACAGAGGAGACAGGGATGATATTGATGACCGGAGGCACCATGAAATACAAAGGAAGAGACAAAATGACCGAGATGATGACTGGAAAAAGGAGTTGGATTATCACAAAAGAGCTTCAAATGATGATGACGCTTATGACAGGAGGGATTATGAAGCTAGTAGAAGTAGAAGTAGAAGGGAATATGGTGACAACCAGGAAGGGAGGAAGGATGAAGATTATTATGGCAGAAGGCATGCAGATAAGGGTAGCCATGCAGAGAAAAAGCATGAGAGAGATGATAGAAGAATAAGTACAGATGATAGTCGAGAATATAGGAGAGACGAAAGGGGTCATGGAAAAAGAAATTTGGATGGTGACAAAGCAGAGGTGAAAGAGGGGTCGCATTATAAGAAAAGATATGCAGCTGATGATGGTTACAAGGACAGGAGAGACGAGCGGGAACCCAAAAGACGCAGCAAGGAAGAATATTGGGTCAGATGAGGGATGAGCTATTTAAATTGAAAGTAGAGAGCATGTCACAAGGGCATGTGACAATGGCTATAAGAGCAGAAGGCAAGAACTAAAATGGCAAAGCAGGGAAATTGACAACTTCCATGGTAGTCTTCTATGATATGTTGTTACCTGTGGATAAAAATTTGGGTTGGAACACAATTTACTGCCTTTTGACCCTTATAAGTAGGCCTTTTTTTCCCGATGCATTCTTCAAATAATGATACTTGACCATTCGTTTCTCAATGCAAATTTGTTTCCTCTTTCTTTCTCAATGCTTCAGTAATGATGCCTGAGTACGACCATTCCTTTTTGAATGACCTTGTAGATTCACTGAAAGTTGGAACCAAACAACGGTATGATCGAAGACAAATTTGATCCAATTATTTAGTGTGATATTGGTGTCATTAATTTGACGGTAGTAATGAGCAAGGAGTCAATGTAGGTGGGATGAAAAATGAATGACAATGGAAAGGACAAGTTGACTTCTGATTAGGACAAAGTTACATTTAGGGATACTGCCAATATTGTTGGTACAGGGAGAAGCTATAAAGAACATTAAATTCAGAGGCAAACATTTTCCAAACTTCCAAATCAAAAAGATAAAATATTTTTGAACATCACCCGGAGGAGTCATCAGAAAAATATACAATATTTTGGGCTATAGCTAGTATCTGTATTAATGCACCGTGAACTAGTGTGTTTATATTATTGCACCAGGTGAAAAACATGTAATCAAACAAGACTGATCTTATTTCATATTAATCCCACCAATCGGATGATGGGATGAAATTTATGTGCTAAACAGTTCGTTCAAAGTCGTTCGATGATTCGGTTGGCAGCCTCAGAGAGTTCTTTGTAAATCTTCATTTCATAGACAACATGTGTAGGTAAATAGGCTTGACGTCTTCCAAATATGTGATCACAGCTAACCTCATACCGAAGTGCTTCAGTCGCTGAAAGTTCAGCCTCATCATACTCACCATTCTTCAGTTCAACCATTGTTTGAATCAGAAGGCCGTCTGTAGATGAAAGTGCTTCTTCACACTTTTCCAGCATCGTCTTAAATCGATTATCTTTGGCAGAGGAAGCCAAAGTTGTCATGTTTGCTTGCAAATTATTGGCATGCTCAATCAGACACCCGACGATAATCTCGGCGATTCCTACCTTATCAGCATTTTCGGAATGTGGGTTGGATTTCAGGCACTGGATGCAGACTTCGGGTACGTTTGCATTGTGGCATTCTTCCTGGATTAACTGCTCATCTGCTTTCACAAAGTTGTGATATTGGCTTGTGAGTTGACAAGCTAGAGTAAGAAGGAGAAGGTGGAGAATTAAGGGTTTGGACATTGTTGATGAGAGACAATTTCCTCTTGGGAGGAGTTTTGCAAGGGGAGGTCCAGAGAGCTACAATTATAAATAATTGAGGAACAAATTAAAGCATCATATGTGTTGACTGGATGGAACACTCGAAATGGAAAATCAAAGGTTTCCCTATGGAATCATGCATCTACTCTATTTGTGTACTTTCTGCAACAAAACACAACTGCAATATATGATTGTCTAGGAATTATAGACGTACAAGACTGGAACTTTTCATTCTTATTTATAGCCCTATAAAGTTTAGACCCACTTTGTGGTTTACCTCCTGTTTGGGGTAGATCAAGGTTTCATTTTTGGAGCCTAATCATCAAATTTTGAGTCCTGTTCAAAAAGGGAAGGGTTTGCTAGAGAATGAGAAGCACTCACCTAGCGCCTAGGTGTTCAATCCACCTGAAGTGAAACTAAATTCAAGACTCCTAGCTAAGCATCAAACATTGGTTTATATTCTAAAAACGTTAATAAAACAAAGAAATACATAAGCGTGCAAGTAGTATTTGAAATTAGTAATTTTTAAAAACAAAATAGTTATCAAACAAAACTCTAATATCACTGGAATTTCCCACACACATGGGGATTGAGAAGTTTGAAAAATACTTGTCTGACTGTATACATATTGTGTGGAGGGTACTGTTTATAACTTTTTCTGTATTTATGTACGAATTCGTAGATGAAGAATGAAATAAGGACATCACAATGAGTACTTTATGTCATTGTCTTATCTAGATTTGAATTTTGGAGATATTTTGATTATTTTTCTGATCACAACTTGCAAGAAAAAGCAATTAAATCAAAAGTTGGTAAATTCAGATTTCTCCTGCCGACTATTTGATAGATTCTATTAGTGCATCTCCCCTCCTGCATTTGAAAACACATGTTGCCTATTATCTGCCTTCCCTCCACCCTCCACCTTAGAAACGATAAAAGGTAAAATGAATCTCCTTCAGATAAAAGTTTTAAGTCTTCCAGACATAACAGTTGATAAAAAAGAATAGTGAAGAGTTATATAGGATCATCAAAGCGAACATAGTTCAGTGGTAATTGACATATATCTCCAACCAAGAGGTTGTGAGTTTGATCCTCCATCCTCACATGTTGTACTAAAAAAATGAAGAATTATAGGTGGTAGACAACTAAAGCTTTAAATACAACCTTTTACGTACCCATAACAATCAAAATTTGAGTCACGTGACTAACCTATCGAATGTTTTCACTTGCTGCCTTCATGAAAAAACACAAGCTTTATACATTGTCAGGCTATAGACCCTACTGTTGTACTCTCTCTATACTGTGACCTCTCTATCTTTAGCCCAATAAAAATATTAGCTCATTGTCGCATAAAATATGTAACAACATGATGATTTATGAAACTTAATTAAACCATAAAATTAAATTGAAACTAAACACAGCCAGGGACTAAATTGAAATTATATAACAAAGATCAAAACTGCAATCTAACCAAAATAAAACTATTCACATAAATCAATTGGGATAAATGTAGGAACTGTGGACCATTTAATCATCAACTGCCTTAATTCAAATTAAAAAAAAAATTGTGTTTCAATTAATATCATAAAATATAATTCATCAGAATGTTGATGACAGGACTAACAATGTTTGTTAGTAGGTGTGAGAACTTTATGATAATATGGACAACTACAGTAAGCTTGATTATAATCAATAAGCCATCAGAAATGCATGTCACAATAGACTTCCTAAATTATTAGATTTTGCCAACTAAAAAGATTAATTCGTCCACCACAGCACACCTACTTTATATAATATTATTAAAGCTAGCAGACAATCAATCGCATTAATAACTGTGGGACCCATAAACATATATAAAATAGTTAATTATATGAATCTTTGAAAGGTGGCCAAAGATATATTCGACACCTTTCCAACACATATAATATAATCCGAATCACGAGAGATAAGTAATTAAAATCACATTCACAACAAATAATAAATAACAAATAATAATGTATGAAGAATATGTAAGAAACGTATGAGCAAGTCAAATCTGTCTCATTAAAGACCAGTTGCACCAACTTCCAACTGTTTGCTATATTGAGTTTGTGAACACAAATTAAATAACTTCACCTAATAATAATACATGCAAAATCGATCCTATCCTCGATCTTTTCTGTGTGGAAAATTTCTGTGGCAGTTTGAAACTTTACGTATTTAACAAAGCACCTGGAAGAAGGAAGAAGGAAGAAGGAAGAAGGAAGAACGGAAGGGATTAATATAGAAGAGAAGCAAAGTGGTGTAGGCATGCATTTCTTGTCGTTGGCTGCATATTACATATTTTTCAATGCGTCAAAGGTTGTTTATTTGCTATTATTGCTGCTTCTGCTGTGGCTTAATCTTACTATTCTTTCCCAAAATATGCGACATTTGGACAATTTGGCCGCTCTGATTTGCAAGGATGAGGCTCAGAATTGTGTGCTTTTTCAGTTTGAAGGCCTTAGTACTCATCCTAATCTTCTATACAACTACAACGCTTCTGTTTGTTAGGTTTCTTCTTCTTTGCAGCAGCAGCTTTATTCACACCACTGGAATATTAATTATATTGTATACTTCCACTTCTAATTCTCTTCGTTATAGATTATGCATACACAGTTCTAAGTTTTAACTTATTTCCCTTTTCTTTTTCTTTTTCTTTTTTCCATTTTTTTTCCGTTGATTATATCTTGTATAGAGTGTGTGTACGTATATTGCTATTATATTACATACTATATAAATATGAGTTAAGCAAGGTTTTATTTTCTTTTCTGGTTCTTGATCATGGATATTTAAAAAGGGATAGTTGCAAATTACACGTCAATAATTTACAAGTTATGAATGTTACACTTATGCCTTAAGATGAGTTTTAAACATTTGTGCTTGAATCAAGATATACTATTATAAGACGAAAAGTAGGGTATTGAGAGACTCAACAAAATATTAAGGGAGAGAATATTTTCTTGTATATTTCTTCATTCAACACAGTTGTGTATTTGTGGTACAATGAGATGATAACCACTGAAAGTATTTTATGGGATTGCAAGCCGTCAAAACAGCAGGAAAAATAGGGAATTTTATAGTGAATAAAACAAGATAATAACCACTGTATCAGCATATATTCATCAAATTAGAGAAAACCACGTGCTGTGAATCTTTTGGCAAGCCGGCGTCGTTTTATTCTTTATCTCAATCTTATCCCCCTGTTTGGAAGCTCGGGTTTACGACGATTTTTAAATCATTTTTCGTGTTTGGTTAGATTAAAAAAAATAGAATTTGAAATCCAATTAATAGGATTTTAATTGAAAATAGATCATATTACAACTTTACCCTTGCAATCAGTTTAATTGAAGAAATGAAATTGAACCAAAAAAGAATGAGACCTACTTGCAAAGAATAAGAATAATGCACATGGAATGAGATGAGATAAAATGAGAGAAAGAAAATGAAGATGAGATGAGATAAAAAGAGAAGAAAATGGAGAAAGGATGTATAAAAAGAAGAGAGAGAAAGAGAGAAAATATAGAAAGAGAAATGGAGAAGAAGATGAATAAAAAGAGAAAGAAATAAAATGGAGAAGGTATAAACAGGAGGGAGATGAAGAAAGAGGAGGAATAAAAAAAAATGGAGGCAATGAGATACGCCTAGAGAACGAGAGTTCATACGGAAAGAGAGTATGGTTTTGATATAGAGGAAGGTTATTAGGATTTTATTTTATAATTATAAGGGCGTAACAGTAAAATAAATTGTTGACGGAGAAATTTCGACTAATCACTAAATGTCACGTCATAAAATTAAAATTACATTTAGGACCAATCACAAATTTACACGTGTCCTAAATTAATTTTTAAAATCAAGAAATCAAATTGTGCCACATGTCTCTTATGGTCGTACGATGAAATCAACTAATTGGATCAAAACTCATGAAAAGACTGTGCCCAAGCCCATGACTCATTAAACTCGTGGCCCATAAAAGACCCACAAAGACTATAAATAGAGGGGTCACCCCTCATTTGATCGGGGAGCAAGAAGAAAGAAGAAGAAAGAAGAAAGAAGAAGCTAGAAGAATTGGATTCAGAGTCAAGCGAAGCATCGAGACTTGAAGAGTATGAGACTTCATGAACATTTGATCTTCTCTCCCCAAGCAACAATACTTGAAGACTCCCATCAATCAAATTGACTGAAGAACTTCAACAAGCTGCAAAGCCAAAACACTTCATCAGCTGCAAAGTCAAAGAACTTCAACAAGCTGCAAAGTCGAAGAACTTTCACAAGCTGCAAAGCTGAAGAACTTCAACACGCTGCAAAGCCGAAGAACTTCACAAGCTGCAAAATCGAAGAACTTCACGAGCGCAAAGTCGAAGACTTCAAAGATTCTTCAATAAGCTCAAAGTCGAAGACCTCACAAAGTCTTCATCAAGCTACAATCCAAAGAACTTCATCAACAAGTCAAAACCTTCAAAAGCCGAAGACTTCAAAGATCCTTCGACAAGCAAGAAGCTGAAGGCATTAACCATTGATTCAAGAACAAGCTCACAAGCCCTTGAATTAAAGTTCACGTCTGAGAGAATTAATCAGAGGATTATACATTAGAGATTATAACACTCACATACATAAATACAAATACAAGTTCATTAATTCAAGTTTCTCTTATTGAATTTCTCGTCGAACATAAATATTTTATTTTCATTTCCTACCATCATCCAAACAAAAGATTTTATTTTTAACTAATTTGAAATCCATCAAAATTTATTAGGTTCCAAACACAATTAAGAATTCGCAATCATTTCTATAATCTAGAATCCTGGAATTTGAAATCATTTCTTTCATGCCAAACAGATCATGATATGAACCAAAGTGTCTTAGTCCTCAAGATTTAAAGGAAGTTATTGGAGAATCCTATGTCCAAGTTGACAACAAATTGAAGTTGCATTAAATGCACTCTAGTGTCATTTATGACAACCTCAAGTTGCATTGAATGAAGTCAAGAACAAGTCCAACTTCATTTACTACAAACTCAAGTTGCATTAATGAAAGTCTAAGTTGAACTCAAGATGCATTAAATGAACAAGACTTCAAAGTACTTCAAAGTAGTTCAAACTCCAGTTCATTCACTCTTGGAGGATTACAAACTCTTGGTTTTATGGTGGAGTTTCATTCTCGGATTTAAAGCATGTTTAATTGTATTTTCAGTTTTAAACATTTCATTTATGTGTTTTAAGTTACATTTGAGTTACTGGTGGTTATGATATTGATATAGTAGGGAGTTAAAACCTTTACAATTCTTTTAGGTTACTTGAAAGGTTGTTTTGGAGGCTATAAATAGTCTAGCTTGTTCCCTTGTAAAAATAGATTTGAGATTTGAGTTTTGAGTTTTGAGTTTTGAGATAATGAAATTTAAGCTTATCGAGCCATGAGCTTTTCCTTTGCATTTCTTGTGTTTTAGAATTGCATGCTAGAATCATTCAAGTAGTCTTGATCAAGCGAACTTGTGGAGTGATTCGAATTTTGAGTTTTGAAACAAGTTTTCTCTACTCTTGATCTTGATCATCAAGGTAAATTCATTCTAACTTCTTCCTTGGGTTGAAATCATCTTGATTTGGGGGTTTTAGCATTTATGATCTAGAGGTTTGCATAACCATAAAGGTTCTTAGATCCAATTGGCTATTGTTTTCTTATCAGATCATATATGTCTTAAAAAGTCTGATACGTTACCATTTACATCATTGAACTAACAAATAAAAAAAAGAGCCTGTTATACACCGCCCCATGCATGTGTAGAACAAAGCTACAAGTCAACCCAAGTCAATTATATTAAACTTCAGGTGGCAATTTATTCATTCTTTTCTACCATAAAAGTTTTCCATTAAATTTTTTATAGTTATACTAAAAAATGGAAAATTAATTTCTCCGTATTTGCATTTCTCTACTTGTCAAAAACTTAATGACGCACCAGAAAAAATTTCTGTTGACCAGTCAATAAAAAAGTATTGTCATCGAAAACTTGAACAAAAAGAGTTTTTTTAGAGTTCTCTTTCAAGCGGTCAAAAACTTAATGGTGAGCAAACAGATGCTCAATTAATATGTATTATAAAATTTATTTACTTAATTAGATGCCCATCTCTCCGAGGGCTTCTTATTTGCCTAGTCACCAAGAAGTACACTCATGTTCACCAAGGCAATGACACCTATACAAGCCTATGCAATGACACCTATACAAGACTATGTAATCCTCCTTGCTGCCCAAGTCCATAAGCTCTATAAATGGGAGGCAAAGTGCATAAGATGAAAATGTAAGAGGAAGAAATTTCAGGAGAGAATAATTATATTTGCTCGTTATTTTATTTTGATACTATTTTCTTTGGTATTTTTTATTTGCTCCAATGATGCCTTGGTTTCGTTCCCTCCGTTTTATAACAGTATGATTCTTATTTGAGCATAAGTAAGATTTGTGGGAGTTGAAAAGGTATATGAGCTAACTTAAGCTCAGTTTACATAGATTCAAGTTCAAGCTTTTCTCAATACCGTACTCCACAGACCTAAGGTTATATCAAGTTCATGAGCCAAAATTACCTCTTTAGGTTTCCAGAAAGATCTCGAAGGCTGGTGGAAAAAAATCGACCCTTGTGGTTGGCCTGGGTTTGCCCTTATTAAGAAGCTTAAATATATCAAAGTGAAGTTGAAGCAGTGGAATAGGGAGGTCTTCGGTATTATAAAATACCAAAAAGAAGCTATTGAAAGGGAGCTATCTAAGGTTGATGATAAGATCTGGCTGAAGGCCTTAATTTCTGGGAGAGAAGGAAAGAGCTTAGAGCCTCCATTAGCGGAAATGGTCCTATATGAAGAAAGGAAGTGTTGGCAGAAATGTAAAGTTAGGTGGCTTATAGAAGGGGATGTGAGAACACCAAGCTCTTCCATAGTGTGCTCAACTCAAGAAGAAAGAGGCAATAGGGATCCATGGTTTAACAGGGGAACTCTATGGGTGAGGTCAAAAAATCCGAAGAAAGGAAGTGTTGGCAGAAATGTAAAGTTAGGTGGCTTATAGAAGGAGATGAGAACACCAAGCTCTTCCATGGTGTGCTCAACTCAAGAAGAAAGAGGCAAAGAAGCAATAGGGATCCATGGTTTAACAGGGGAATTCTATGGGTGAGGTCAAAATCCAAATCAAGATCACTTGTAGGACACAGCGAGTAGAAATCTCCAACTCATTTTATCCTGCAGTATAAATGATTTATACCATTCCAACTCATTTTATCCTGCAGTATAAATGATTTATACCATTCCAATTAGCATAACTTAAGATTTTTCATCCTCCGCGTTGTAGGCCACTCTCGTTGTTTAGGGGTGAGCATATATATATGCAAGATCATTATCGATTACTACGACAAGTGAAGATGTCCAACTCATTTTCCTGTGTCTCTTATGGTATTTTGTCATCTGCTCTATTCAAATTAGCATATCTCTGATTTTTTTTTCATCCTCTTTGCAGGTCACTTTGACCTTGTCGCTAGGTGAGGTCAAAATCCAACTCAAGAACACTGAACACTTATTGAGGTCAAAATCCAACTCAAGAACACTTATCAAGTACTACGGAGATCTTCAAGTCATTTTCCTTTTGTCATGTGGTCTTCAAGTCATTTTCCTTTTGTCATGTGGTATAAGTCATTTGTTCCACCAATTAGCATAACTTTTATCTGGTCTCCTCTTTGTAGGTCACTTTCCTGGTTTATGGGCGAGGATACATATCAAGATCACTTTTCAAGTACTAGAACAAGTGGAGATCCCCGACTCATTTTCATTTGTTTTGTGTATTTGTAATTTTTTCAATTCCAATTTCTTGGGTTTGCAAAGAGGAATACAAAGTCCCACATTGGCTAGGGAAGGGATTGATCCATGGTATATAAGAGATGAGAATTATCTCCATTGGTATGAGGCTTTTTTGGTGAAATTAAAAGCAACATATCAGAGCCATGGTCTAAGTCTAGCTGTGTCGATGAAATCCTCGAGTGTCGAATAAAGAAGTGGTGAGCCTCGAAAGACGTAGTCATTGTGCGATCCGTGGTTGTGCTCTATCAGGTTGTTCTTGGAGTCTTGGATAAGAGCACGCTCTCGTTATGCCCGAGAGTGGACAGATGGTTGACTACTTGAGGGGAGGCTCGGTGGTACTTTGTTCGAGGGGAGGATTGTTGGGTTCATAAAAGGAATACAAACAAAGTCTCACATTGGCTAGGAAAGGGATTGATCCATGGTAATATAAGAGAAAACAATTATCTCTACTAGTATGAAGCCTTTTGGGTGAAACCAAAAGCAAAATTGTGAAGCTGTGCCCAAAGCGGACAATATCATACCATTGTGGAGATACTCAGGGTACAAGGGGCGGGGTTGGACAATATTAGCTTATCTTTAATTTTTCCTTCTCTTCTTTGTAGGTCACTTTCCTAGTCTACGGTGTGATCAAAATCTGAATCTAGATCACTTATCAAGTACTCTAACAAGTGGAGTTCTCCAACTGGTTTTCTTTTGTCTCGTGGCATTTGTCATTTGTTCCATTTTAATTGACATAAGGAAAGTTTTGACATAAGGAAAGTTTTTCTAGGTCACTTTCCTTGTCTATGGGTGAGGTCAAAATCCAAATCAATATCATTTATCAATCACTACAACAAGGGGAGATCTTCAACTCATTTTTCATTTTTCTTATGGTATAAGTCATTTATTCCGTTATAATTAGCATAACTTTGATTTTTCCTTCTCTTCTTTGTAGGTCACTTTCTTTGTCTAAGAGTTAGTCATGATCACTTATCAAGTACTCCAACAAGTGGAGATCTCCAACTCATTTTTCTCTGTCTTGTGGTATTTGTCATTTGTTCCATTCCAATTAGCATATCATTGATTTTTCCTCCTCCTTTTTGTAGATCACTTTCCTTGTCTATGGGTGAGGTCATAATCCAAATCAAGATCACTTAACAAGTACCAGAGCAAGTGGAGATCTCCAACTCATTTTCCTTTGTCCTTGTAGTGTATAAGTCATTTGTTCTATTCCAATTAGCATAACTTTTATTTTTCCTCCTCCTCATTGTAGTTCACTTTCCTTGTTCATGGGTAAGGATACATATAAAGATCACTTATCAAGTACTACAAGTGGAGAAGTCCAACTCAATTTCCTTTGTCTTGTGGTATTTTTCATTTGTTCCATGTCAATTAGCATACGTTTAATTTTTACTCCACCTTTTAGGTTACTTTCCTTATCTATGGGTGAGGTTCAAAATCCAAATAAGAGATTGAGATTCATTTTCCTTTCATTTCTCCTACTGGGTCAATTTCCTTTTCGGTAGGTAAGGATACATATCAAGATCACTTATTAAAGACCTATAACAAGTGGAGATCTCCAACTCATTTTTCTTTGTCTTGTGGTATTGTCATTTGTCCCACATTCCAATTAGCATATCTTTAAATCTTCATCCTCCTCTATGTAGTTCACTTTCCTTGTCTATGGGTGAGATCAAAATCTCCTCTATGTAGGTCACTTTCCTTGCCTATAGGTGAGATCAAAATCTAAATCAAGATCGCTCAACAAGTGGAGATCTCCAACTCATTTTTTCTTTTTCTTGTGGTTTTTTTTCATTAGTTCCCTTCCAATTTGCATATCTTTAATGTTCCTCTTGCTCTTTGTAGGTGACTCTCTTTGTCTATAGGTGAGGTCAAAATCCAAATCTAGATCACTTATCAAGTACAAGTGGAGATCTCCGATTCATTTTCCTGTGGTACAAGTCATTTGTTTCGTTCCAATTAACATAACTTTGATTTTTCCTCTCCCCTTTGTAGGTCACTTTCCTTGTTTATGGGATACATATTAAGATCATTTATCTTGTGGTATTTTCATTGGTTCCATACCAATTTTACTTTTCCTCCTCTTTGTAGTTACTTTCCTTGTCTATGGGGGAGGATACATATCAAGTACTTCAACAAGTGGAGAGGTCCAACTCGACTTCCTTTGTCTTGTGGTATTTTCATTTGTTCCATACCAATTAGCAGATGTTTAATTTTTACTCCTTTTTTAGGCTGCTTTCCTTATCTATGGGTGAAGTCAAAATCCAAATCATATCACTTATCAGCAAGCGGAGATTCAGACTCATTTTCCTTTGTCCTATGGTATAAGTCATCTCTTCCATTCCAATTAGTGTAACTTTAGATTTTCCCTCCTCCTCTTTATAGGTCAATTTCCTTTCCATGGGTAAGGATACATATCAAGATCACTTATTAAAAACCTACAACAAGTGGAGATCTCCAACTCATTTTTCTTTGTCTTGTGGTATTTGTCAATTGTTCCATTCCAATTAGCATATCTTTAATTATCCGTCTTCCTCTTTGTAGTTCAATTTCTCTATCTGTGCGTGAGATCAAAATCTAGAACAAGATCACTCATTAGGTACTACAACAATTGGATATCTCAAACTAATTTTCCTTCGTCTTGTGGTGTTTGTCATTTGTTTCATTCCAATTAGCATATCATTGATTTTTCTTCCTCTTCTTTGTAGGTCACCTTCCTTGTCTATGGGTGAGGTCAAAGTACAAAACATGATCATCTATCATATACTGGAGCCAGTGGAGATCTCCAACTTATTTTCTTTTGTCCTGTAGTATATATCATTTGTTCCATTCCAATTAGCATAAATTTTACTTTTCCTCCTCTTTGTAGTCACTTTCCTTGTCTACGGGGGAGGATACATATCAAGTACTTCAACTAGTGGAGATGTCCAACTCAATTTCCTTTGTCCTGTGGTATTTGTCATTTGTTCCATTCCATTTAGCATATCTTTAATTTTTCCTCCTGCTCACTGTAGATCACTTTCCTTTGTCTATGGTTAGGTAAAAATTCAAATCAAGATCACTTATCAAGTACAAAGGGTGCTAATCAATTCATTTTCCTTTGTCCTCTGTATAAGTCATTTGTTCCATTCCAATGAGCATAACTTGGATTTTTCCGCCTCCTCATTGTAGGTCACTTCCCTTTAAGGATACATATCAAAATCACTTATCAAAATTCCTACCACAAGTGGAGATCTCCAACTTTTTTTCCTTTGTCTTGTAGTATTTGTAATTTGTTCCTTTCCAATTAGCATATCTTGGATTTTTCCTCCTCTTCTTTTCTGTAGGTCACTTTCCTTGTCTATGGGTGAGGTCAAAGTCCAAATCATGATCACTTATCAAGAACTAGAGCAAGTGGAGATCTCCAACTTATTTTCTTTCGTCATATGGTATATGTCATTTGTTTCATTCCAATTAGCTAACTTTTATTTTTCCTTCTCCTATTTGTAGGTCACTTTCCTTGTCTATGAGTGAGGATGCATATCAAATATTACAACAAGTGGAGATGTCCCACTCAACTTCTTTTGTTTTGTGATATTTGTTGTTTTTTCCATTCCATTTAGCTTAATTTTAAGTTTTACACCTCTTGTTTGCAGGCCACCTTCCTTGTCTACGAGTGAGATCAAAAATCAAAAATCAAAAATCAAGATCACTTATCAAATACTACAAGTGAAGGTCTCCGACTCATTTTTCTTTGTCTTGTGATATTTGTTATTTTTCCATTCCTATTAGCATATGTTTAACTTTTCCTCTTGCTCTTTGTCAATCACTTTTCTTATCTATGGTTGAGGTCAAAATCCAAATCAAGATCACTTATCATCTACAAGTGGAGATCTCCAATTCATTTTCCTTTGTCCTGTGGTATAAGCCGTTTTTTCCATTCCAATTAACATAACTTTGATTTTTCCTCCTCCCCTTTGTAGGTTACTTTCTTTGTTTATGAGATACATATTAAGATCACTTATGCAGTACTAAAACAAGTGGAGAGATACAACTCAAATTCCTTTGTCTTATGGTATTTTCATTTGTTCAATACCAATTAGCATATGTTTAATTTTCACTCCTCTTTTTAGGCTGCAATCTATGGGTGAGGTCAAAATCCAAATCAAGATCACTTATCAGCAAGTGGAGATTCAGACTCATTTTCCTTTGTCCTATGGTATAAGTCATCTTTTTCATTCCAATTAGCATAACTTCAGATTTTTCCTCCTCCTCTTTATAGGTCAATTTTCTTTCCATGGGTAACGATACATATCTAGATCACTTATCAAGTACTCCAACAAGTGGAGATCTCCAACTCATTTTTCTCTGTCTTGTGGTATTTGTCATTTGTTCCATTCCAATTAGCATATCTTCAATTCTCCGTCTTCCTCTTTGTAGTTCACTTTCTTTGTCTATGCGTGAGATCAAAATCTAGAACAAGATCGCTCATCAAGTACTACAAGAATTGGAGATCTCCAACTAATTTTTCTTTGTCTTGTGGTGCTTGTCATTTGTTTCATTCCAATTAGCATATCTTTTATTTTTCCTCATCTTCTTTGTAGGTCACTTTCCTTGTCTATGGGTGAGGTCAAAGTCCAAAACATGATCATTTATCAAGTACTAGAGCAAGTGGAGATCTCCGACTTATTTTCTTTTGTCTGGTAGTATATATCATTTGTCCCATTCCAATTAGCATAATTTTTTTTTCCTTGTCTTTGTAGGTCACTTTCCTTACCTATGGGTGAGGATACATATCAAGATCACTTATCAAGTACTTCAACCAATGGAGATGTCCAACTCAATTATTTTTGTCTTATGGTTTTTGTCGTTGGTTCCATTCCATTTAGCTTCTTTGTAGGTCACTTTCCTTGTTCACGGGTGAGATCAAAATCCAAAATCAAGACCAACTTATCAAGTACTACAAGTGAAGGCCTCCGACTCATTTTCCTTTGTCTTGCGGTATTTGTCATTTGTGGGTCATTTTCCTTGTTTATTTTTCCTCTTGCTCTTTGTAGGTCATTTTCTTTGTTTGTGGTTAGGTCAAAATTCAAATCAAGATCACTTATCATGTATAAGTGGTGATCTCCAATTTATTTTCCTTTGTCCTGTGTTATAAGTCATTTGTTCCATTCCAATTAGCATAACTTTGATTTTTCCTCCTCCTCATTGTAGGTCACTTCCCTTTTTATGGGTGAGGATACATATCAAGATCTTATCAAAATTCTTACAATAAGTGGAGATCTCAGACTCTTTTTCCTTTGTCTTGTGGTATTTGTAATTTGTTCCATTCCAATTAGCATATCTCGGATTTTTCCCCTTCCATGTAGGTCACTTTCCTTGTCTATGGGTGAGGTCAAAGTTCAATTCATCATCACTTGTCAAGAACTAGAGCAAGTCGAGATCTCCAACTTAATTTGTTTTGTCCAGTGGTATATGTCATTTGTTTCATTCCAATTAGCTAACTTTTATTTTTCCTTCTCCTATTGGTAGGTCACGTTCCTTGTTTATGAGTGAGGATATATATCAAGATCACTTATCAAGTACTACAACAAGTGGAGATGACCCACTCAACTTCCTTTGTCTTGTGATGTTTGTCGATTTTTCCATTTCATTTAGCCTATCTTTAAGTTTTCCTCGTCCTCTTTGTAGGTCACCTTTCTTGTCTACAGGTGAGATCAAAAATAAAAAATCAAGATCACTTATCAAGTACTACAACAAGTGAAGGTCTCCGACTCATTTTCCTTCGTCTTGTGGTATTTGTCATTTTCCATTCCTATTAACATATCTTTAATTTTTCCTCTTGCTCTTTGTAGGTCACTTTCCTTATCTATGAGTAAGGCCAAAATTCAAATCAAGGTCACCTATCAAGTACTCCAGCAAGTAGAGATCCGCAACTCTTTTTGCCAGTACAAGTCATTTGTTCCGTTCCAATTAGCATAACTTTAATTTTTCCCCCTCCTCTTTGTAGGTCACTTTCCTTGTTGATGGGTGAGTCTAAAATCCAAATCAAGATCACTTGTCAAGTACTACAGAGATCTTCAACTCATTTCCTTTGTCTTGTGGTACAAGTCATTTGTTTCGTTCCAATAAGCATAACTTTTATTTTTTCTCCACTTTGTTGGTCACTTTCCTTGTCTATGAGTGAGGATGCATATAAAGATCACTTATCAAGTACTACAACAATTGGAGATCTCCAACTCCTTTTTATTTGTCTTGTGGTATTTATTATTTTTTCAATTCCAATTAGGTTATCTTTAATTTTTCCTCCTGAAGGTTACTTACCATATCTATGGGGGTGATGAAAATCCATTCTAATTATATTGTTTTGTCATGTGGCATTTGTCATTTGATCCATTCTAATTAGCATATCTTTAAGTTTCCTCCTCTTTGTAGGTCACTTTCCTTATCTATGGGTGAGATCAAAATCCAAATCAAGATCATTTATCAAGTACTATAGCAAATGGAGATCTCCAACTCATTGTTCTTTTTCCTGTGGTATAATTCATTTGCTCCATTCTAATTAGCATCACTTTGATTTTGCCTCCTTTTCTTTGTGGGTCACTTTCTTTGTCTTAGTTGAGGATACCTATCAAGATCACTAGAGATCTCAACTCATTTTCCTTTATCTTGTGTCATTTTTCATTTGTTCCATTCCAGTTAGCATATCTTTGATCTTTCCACCTCCTCTTCGTAGGTTACTTTTCTTGTCTATGGGTAAGGTCAATCCAAATCAAGATCACTTATCAAGTAAGTACTACCACAAGTGGAGATCTCTAACTCATTTTCCTTTGTCTTGGTACAAGTCATTTATTCTATTCCAATTAGCATAACATTGATTTTTCCTCCTCCTCTTTGTAGGTCACTTTCCTTATTTATGAGTGAGGATACATATCAAGATCACTAATCAAGTACACTACAACAAGTGGAGATGTACAACTCAATTTCCTTTGTCTTGTGGTATTTTTCATTATTTCTATTCCAATTATCATATATTTAATTTTTACTCCTCCCCTTTGTAGGTTACTGTCCTTGTCTATGGGTGAGGTTAAATCTAAATGAAGATCACTAATCAGCAAGTGGAAATTCCAACTCATTTTCCTTTGTCCTGTGGTATAAGTCATTTCTAACATTCCAATTAGCACAACTTTGATTTTTCCTCCTCCTCTTTGTAGGTCACTTTCCTTTTTTATGGGTGAGGATACAATATCAAGATCACTTATCAAAAGTCCTACAACAAGTAGAGATCTCCAACTCATTTCTTTTGTCTTGTGGTAATTGTCATTTCTTCAATTCCAATTAGCGTATCTTTAGTTTCCCCTCCTCCTTTGTAGGTCACGTTCCTTGTCTATGGGTGAGACCAAAATCCAAATCAAGATCACTTATCAAGTACTACAACAAGTAGTCAAGTAGACATCTCCAACTCATTGTCCTCTGTCACGTGGTACTTGTCATTTGTTCCATTCTAATTAGCATATCTTTAACTCTTCGTCCTCTTCTTTGTAGGTCATTTTCTTTGTCTATGGGTGAGACCAAAATCGAAATCAAGATCGCTTATCAAGTACTACTACATGTGGAGATCTCCAACACATTTTCCTTTGTCTCATGGTATTTGTCATTTGTTCCATTACAATTTGCATATTTTTAATGTTTCCTCTTGCTCTTTGTAGGCCACTTTCTTTGTCTATGGGTGAGGTCAAAATCCAAATTAAGGTCACATATTAAGTACAAGTGGAGATCTCTAATTCATTTTCCTTTGTCCTGTGGTATAAGTCATTTGTTCCATTCCAATTAGCAACACTTTGATTTTTCCTCTTCTTCTTTGTAGGTCACTTTCCTTTTCTGTGGGTGAGGATACATGTCAAGATCACTTATAAAAAGTCCTAGAACAAGTGGAGATATCTAACTTATTTTCCTTTTTCTTGGGGTACTTGTCATTTATTCCATTTCAATTAGCATAACTTTTATTTTTCCTCCTCCTCTTTGTAGGTCACTTTCCTTTTCTATGGGTGAGGATACATATCAAGATAACTTATCAAAAGTCCTACAACAAGTGAAGGTCTCCGACTCATTTTCCTTTGTCTTGTGCTATTTGTCATTCGTCCATTCCTATTAGCATATCTTTAATATTTCCTCCAATCACTTTCCTTGTCTATGGGTGAGGTTGAAATTCAAATCAAGATCACTTATCAAGTACTTCAGAAAGTGGAGATCTCCAACTCATTTTGTCCTGCGGCATAAGTAATTTGTTCCATTTCATTTATGATGTATCTAAACTACTTTAAGTTATAAAGCAGTTCTTTTAGTTTGTAGGGTAGTTAGTATTTTAAAAAGCCTTCTGTTTAGTGATAAAAGGGCTAGTCTTTTACTGCACAGTAACTAGCCCTCCAGCTTTTAAGTTTTCAAAGCCAATAAATAGACTTCTGTATTCATTCGGAAGGGGATGAATCATTATTGAATTTTCTCAAATTGGACTGCACCAAATTAGCATAACTTAGATTTTTCCTCCTCATCTTTGTAGGTCACTTACCTTGTTTATGGGTGAGCATATATATCAAGAACTGCGAGAAGTGGAGATCTCCAACTCATTTTCATTTGTCCGATGGTATTTGTCATTTGTTTCATTCAAATTAGCATATCTTTTATTCTTTTTCCTCCTCTTTGTAGGTTACTTTCCTTGTCAATAGAGAGGCCAAAATCCAAATCAAGATTACTTATCAAGTACTACAGTCTTCAACTCATTTTCCTTTATCCTGTGGTATAAGTTATTTGTTCTATTCCAATTAGCTTAACTTTTATTTTTCCTCCTCTTTGTAGGTCACTTTCCTTGTCTATAGGTGAGGTTACATATCAAGATCACTTGTCAAGTACTACTCAAGTACTACAATAAGTGGAGATCTCCAACTCATTTTTATTTGACTTGTGGTACTTGTCATTTTTTCACTTCCAATTAGCTTATCTTTAATTTTTCCTCCTCCTCTTTGTAGGTCACTTTCCTTGTCTATGGAAGTTATCAAAATCCAAATCAACATCACTTATCAAGTACTATAACAAGTGGAGTTCTCAAACGCATTTTCTTTTGTCTTGTGGCATTTGTCATTTGTTCCATTATAATTATCATATCTTTAAGTTTTAATCCTCCTCTTTGTAGGTTACTTTCCTTGTCTATGGGTCATTTATCAAGTACTACAGCAAGTGGAGATCTCCAACTCATTTTCCTTTTTCTTTTGGTATAAGTCATTTGTTCCATTCTAAATAGCATACCTTCAATTTTTCCTCCTCCTCTTTGCAGGTCACTTTTCTTGTCTACAAGTGAGGTCAAAATCCAAATCAAAATCACTTATCAAGTACTAAAGCAAGTAGGGATCTCCAACTCATTTATTTTGTCCTTTGGTATGTCATTTGTTCTATTCCAATGAGCATAAATTTGATTTTTCCTCTTCTTCGTAGGTCACTTTTCTTGTTTATTGGTGAGGGTACATATCAAGATCACTTATCAAGTACTACAGCAAGTGGAGATCTCAAACTCAATTTCCTTTGTCTTGTGGTATTTTTCATTTGTTCCATTCCAATTAGCACATGTTTAATTTTTACTCCTATTTGTAGGATACTTTCCTTGCCTACAGGTGAGGTCAAAATCCAAATCAAGATCACTTATAAGCATATGGAGATTCCATATCATTTTCCTTTGTCCTGTGGTATAAGTCATTTCTTCCATTCCAATTAGCATAACTTTGATTTTTCCTCCTCCTCTTTGTAGATCACTTTCCTTTTCTGTGAATGAGGATACATATTAAGATCACTTATCAAAGACCTACAACAAGTGGAGATCTCCTGCCCATTTTACTCTATCTTGTGGTATTTGTCGTTTGTTCCATTCCAATTAGCATAACTTTGATTTTCCTCCTCCTCTCTGTAGGTCACTTTCCTTATCTATGAGTGTGATAAAAATCCAAATCAAGATCATTTATCAAGTACTACAACAAGTGGAGATCTCAACCTTATTTTCTCTTGTCTGGTTGTATTTGTCATTGTTCCAATCCAATTAGCATATCTCTAATTCTTCGTCTTCCTCTTTGTTGGTCACTTTCCTTTTCTATGGGTGAGATCAAAATCTAAATCAAGATTGCTTATCAAGTACTACAAGTGGATATCTCCAACTCATTTTCCTCCGTCTTGTGGTATTTTTTATTTGTTCCATTCCAATTTGCATATCTTTGATTTTTCCTCCTACTCTTTGTAGGTTACTTTCCATGTCCATGGTGAGGTCAAAATTAAAATCAATATCACTTATCAAGTACAAGTGGGGATCTCTACCTTATTTTATTTTGTTCCGTGGTATAAGTTATTTGTTTCATTCCAATTAGCATAACTTTTATTTATCCTTGTCCTCTTTGTAGGTTATTAAATCACTAATCGCTTTTGGGTTAGTGGTGGTTTATTCAACCTTAACATAGCATCAGAGCGGGAAGTCGTGTAATCAAACCTCTGCATTGTTGTTTCCTCCCCATTTATAATGATTTCCACTTGTTGGATTTTGTGCAATTATCAAAGCCTACAAGTGAGGGAGAGTATTGAGAATCCATATATATAAATTAAATTTACTCAATCCATCAGCTTAAACTTTTGAGTTGCAGGAGCCAACTAAATGGGTTACGAGATATCTAAAGGGAACTTGTAATAATGACTACTTTGCACTCATCCAAATACATTACAACTAGAACTCAAAGGTTACTCAGGTTCAGATTCTGCTGGTGACCTTGATCGAAGGTGGTCACTAACTAGATATGTGTTTCTACTTGGGGAAAATGTGGTTAGCTGGAATTCCTCTCTACAAAGTAGTGGCACTATCGACAATGGAACCAGATTTTATTGCTCTTTCAGAAGCAATAAAAGAAGCCATTTGGCTAGTTGAAGAACCTGGCTTTCATCAAATTGAAGTTACCGTCATGTGTGATAATCAAAGCACCATACCCCTATCTCACAATCAACAATATCATGAGAGGTCCAAACATATAGATGTAAAGTTACATTTTGTGAGGGAATAAGTTGAAAAAGGCACGGTTACAATTCAGAAAGTTAGTACACATGAAAATGCAGCTGATATACTAACTAAAGCAGTCACCAAGGTAACTTTTGAGCATTGCTTAAATATGCGCAAAGCGACTGAACTCCTTGGAGGATAAACCGTGGAATAGCAACCAAGCAGTCTTACCGTGTTTGTTCAAAGGTGCAGAGGATTTTTTAACAAAACTGATAAATAATGAAACTCTCTCTTGAGGTTGACAGCACGTGTTAATTCGTAAAAGGCAAATTTTTGTATTACTGTTGTAACAGAGAAGAAGTTGTAAAATTACCTTTATTTTTTCTGACTTCTTCGTTGTATAAATAGCTGAATATAGGTGCTGTATTACTTACTTGAAAAACTCATAAATTCTAAAGTAAAGGCGAAGCTGCTGATTGCTAAAGTGGGTGTAGGCTATATGCTGAACCACTATAATTCTTAGTGTTGTTTTCTCTCTTATCCTCTCTGTTATTCTTCTTGCATTGGATTTATTGTGATTTCATAGAGCTAGCTGGTTAAAAGGTGGATTGATTTCAGAAGGCAAGATCTTGGATATAACACTATCAATGCCTACCTCTGATCATTTCCCCATTCTTATGGAAACGGGAAGCTTCAAGTGGGTTCCTATATCTTCTAAGTTCAAAAACATGTGGCTCCTTCACAAGTCTTCCCTGAAAGATCTCGAAGGCTGGTGGAAAGAAATCAACCCTTGGGGTTGCCTGGGTTTGCCCTTATCCAGGATCTTAAATATATCAAAGCGAAGTTGAAGCAGTGAAATAGGGAGTTCTTGTATTATAAAAGACCAAAACTAAGCTATTGAAAGGGAGCTATCTAAGGTTGATGATAAAGATCTGGCTAAAGGCCTTAATTTTGAGGAAAAAGGGAGAGAAGGAGAGAGCTTAGAGCCTCCATAGCAGAAGTGGTCCTAAATGAAGAAAGGAAGTGGGGCAGAAATGTAAAGTTAGGTGGCTTATAGAAGGGAATAAGAACACCAAGTTCTTCCATGGTGTGCTCAACTAAAGAAGAAAGAGGCAATAGGGATCAATGGTTTTACAGGGACATTCTTGAAAGACATCCTCAAGGTGATCTATGATTTCTCAATAACGGCATTATAAATGGATGGATAAGTTATCTAGTGAGCTCCGGTTTTACTTCAACAGCGAAGAAATCCATGCATGTTTGATACAATACAACAAAATTCATAACTAACCTGGTGAAAGTGGATTTCTTGTGACCAGGACATCGAGTTCATCCATGCGAGTTGGTGGCCTCTCGTAAAGCTACAATTTGCAGTCACTTTTGTAGGAAACAAATACTGAGGTTGTGTGTGGATTCGAGATGAACTGTCATAGATCCTGCAGTTGGGTGTTTCTTGAATCAGAAAAGAAATTATAAATTAACATTTAAATGGTAAATAATGTAGAATTTGAATCAAACTGGACTAAATTACCCAAATTTTGGTACTGCCTTCTTGGTATCATAGATTCACAATATCTTTCCAACAAGTCATCATATAAGTCTGCACCTATTAAGTCAGAGTAACATATTATTTGTAGAGATTATGAAGCTGAATAAAGAAGCACTTAAACAATATTTCAGAATGGTCGAAGCTGATATGAGTTCAAGATTTATTTATAATAATTTTTTAGTAATAAATAAATCTATCTAATTATATTGATTTTTCAATAAAAATGTACGCCGATGACTCAAAAATGAAATCAGAACTGAATGAAAACTCTATTTTGTGATATATAAATTGACTTGCCTTGTTAAAAGTAGAGACAATTTTCACAAGACCTTCATTTTCTCTGTTGCTACTTCTCCATCGAAAGAAGCATGGAAACGAACAAGTGAACAACTACTTGGGAAGAGATTGACTCCAACGACTAGCCAAGTAACAGAGCCATGAAACGGTGGTGCAATCAAGACCACCCAAACAGTCCGATCAAGTGGAGCAGAGTGGCTGAATCCATGGCGGAGTTTGCAGAGTCCAAGATTTCGCCTGTCACTGGTCCGATCCATCGACCACCATTGTTTGTCCAAGAATCAATTTGCGATGTTAATTTCAGCCCCATTTGCTTTGAAAAGGGAAGGTCTGGCTGGTTAGGGTTATCTTCATCTACTTTTTCAGTGTTGCAGGTACAATGGACAACATAATTCGGAGAGGAACGAGAGAGAAGAGACCGAGGGAGGGGAAGAAGAGAAGAGAGACTTGGGGGGGAAGTAATAGAGAGAGGAGACTGAGGGCGGGAAAATAAGAGGGAGACGAAGACTGAGGGCGGGAAGAGGGAGGGAAACAGGACACTCAGGTCTAACTGAATTAGCCGTTGCAGTAAGTATTAATTACTGCCTGAAACGGCCTTTTTTACGTTTCGTGAAGTTGAAAATTAAAAACTAAAACAGAGGAAAATAAACTTCCGTCTGTCTAAATTTTAAATCTAACTCCGTTCTCCGTCAAAAAAAAAAACTCCATTCATATTTTTTGCCTTTTTATAACTTTTGTAAAATAAATATACGCGGACAATGTTTTTGGTTTTCGTTTGTTTAGTGAGATAGATAAATATTGTACTTCTTTGATTTAAAGTTAGTATATTTCCATATCATAAAAAGCATCTATGATTCTATCTCATTATTTATATTTATATTTTTCTTATTTTCATATGGAAAAAATTTGATTGGTTGTCCTTCCTTAATATGGTTAAATATTTGACAATTTTTCATTTTTGTAATTTCTTTTTATTTTTGCATTTCTCACTCTTAATTATTAAATATTTAATGGGGTTAAGGAGTAAGTTCCTCTTTAACTTTATGGAGTTAAATTTTTTTCTTTTTGTATTGTAAAATGTATCTAGCATTCTATCTCATTATATATTTTTATTTTTTTTTTCATACTTTTCTCTAGATCTTAAATATTTGAGGGAGTTTGGAAGGAACCTTAAAGCAAAAATTTGGTCTGACATAATTCCATAAACATAATTACTCATAAAATCAATGAATGTGATACATAAAGAATTTGGGGATAAAAAAAAACAAGAAATTAAAAGTACTATGGAATGAGAATGATATAGTTGAATGATTGATGTGAGGACAAATTCGAGATTTGACACTAAAGACTCAAAAAGGATCCTCATGCCCGTTGGGAGGGCGGTGGAGTGAAACACAGTCGCTCACGCGCCCAAATTTCAAGAAAGGGTTAGGGGCATTTAAGGAAAAACACAATTCAACGCCTTTTTCCAGATCCGACCGTTACAAAATTTTGAAAAGTTCCTTTGAAAAACCTCAAATCTCCTCATCTCCACACTGTATCTTCCGAGTTCTCTTATCTTTCAGTTTTGCTCTGCTTCTGCCTAATTTTCGCTTCGCCCTCTTCTCCTTTTGTTTTCCATGGATGAAAACAAGACGGCCTTAACGATCATGGAATCAAAGCCACCACACCCACTTCACCAAATTGCCGAAAATCCAACCCACAAACTTCTTCTCAAGCAGTGGCTCAAGGAAGAGGAACTGATATTCGGCAGAATTTCTTTGAAAGAAACCCAGATCGACTCGGTTCGAAAAGAAATCACGATGCTCCACATTTTGTTCTTCGTGTTCCACTCCACAGCTATACTCCTCCTCTTCAACGCCTCCACGAAGGACGTCCATGGCGCAGCCTGCAAGAGGTCGTGGATTCCGTCGCTGTGTTCTCTGTTATTCTCTCTGGGTATCATCTGGGCCGTCAGATACAAGACTGACGTTGAGGCCCACTTGGAGAAATTGTTAGAGAGGGAAAAAGAGGACAGAAATTTGCTGTCCAAGTGTGTGGACGAGTTGAAGAGGAAAGGAGTTGAATTCGATCTGTTGAAGGAGGTTGATGCGCTACGGAGGGCGAAGAGCTTGCGGGTGGAAGCTAAGGCTGTAAGAAAATGGTCTTCCAGAGATTTCATCACTCTGTTTTTCTTCTCTGTTTCCTGTATTTTTCTTGGGATTACTAGGATTGTTCTATGTAACAAGTAGAGCTTTATATACAAGGGGATGGGAGACTGGCGATTGGTGATTGGGCATTCAAGTGATGCCACCTCTGTCGTTGTTCGTTCTGAACTTGGATGCTGTTTGAGCGCAGATTACTCTGGTCTGCACTTGTATTTTGTTGCTTTTGTGGAATTATTTGGATAAATTGTCTCAACAATTTGAAGTTCTTTCCAAAAATGGTTCTTTAGTTCTCACTCTGAGTTGACTTAACATTATTCCAGTAGGGCCTAATTGGAGCTACATCTGATAAACTGTTCGTCCTACTTTCTCTCATCGACTGTTCATCCTACTTTCTCTGAATTCTTTACCAATCCGACCAGTTGAAGAAAGAAGAAAAGAGTGATAAATGTAACTCACGCACAAAAGTATTTGAAATCATAAATGATAATCACAGATGTGAGGTTTCCACAGGACACAAATGTTGTATCGCTATATACAATAGCCAGAGGTGGGGGAATGTAAAGTAAATATTGAACTAAAAAATGAAATATGCCAATACCACGCCTGTTCACCTACCCTCCCCTAATAATCCACGAAGCATTGGTTCAGAAACATTAGTTGGCGAGTGCTTTGTATCAACGATACTCGAACTTGTCGACGCATAACGGCCAGTATCAGGTTCTTCAGTGGATGGATTATCTATAAAGCTTGTAATGTCATCAAATTTCCAGTCTGTTAAGTATCCTGGTTTTGAAGTTACGGTGGCCACTTCAATGTCTCCGGTCAGCATCGCCACCACGCGAGACATTGATGGCCGAAGACCTGGGGATGTTTGAGTGCACAGAAGAGCTACACCGATCACCCGTTTCACTTCTTCCTCGCTGAACTCTGATAATTCAAAATCCACCATCTCAAGTTCCTGGTTGTTCTCGTGGAGGTACCATGCCTACAAACAAAACATGAATTCATGAGAGGAAAACTCCTGAACGGAATTTGAAACAATTCAGAAAGAAGTTCTGTAATCCCTTTACTCCTGTGAAATCCCCAGATAGATAAAATAGGAAAAAAGAAAGCGTTCTTAATCTTACCCATTCGAGAAGATAAACTTTGTCTTGCTCTAAGCTCGGATCTGAATTTGGCCTTCCACTGACAAGTTCTAGAGCCACAACGCCAAATCCAAAGACATCAGCCTTCTCCGTCAGGTGGCCACGCATGGCATACTCGGGTGCAAGATAACCACTGCATCAGTAAGATCCTTACATTAGTACTCCCCATACTCATAAAAAAAGAAAAACAGCAAAAATGATTAAAGAATTAATCGCCATGACATTACATTGTCCCAGCAACACGGGTGCTAATATGAGTCTTTTTGTCATCATAAAGTTTGGCTAAGCCAAAATCTGAAATTTTGGGGGTCAGATCACCGTCAAGCAGAATGTTACTGGCCTTTACATCTCTGTGCACAATGCGAAGTCTTGATTCCTCGTGAAGGTAAGTGAGACCTCTTGCTACACCCACGCATATGTCAAAACGTGTTGGCCAATCAAGAATCAAATGTCTTTTCTCTGCCACACAAAATCCATGTATAAATACAACCATCTTCGTTTCTAAAACCCATAAAATTGGATATAAATTCCTTACCAAATAATGCTTGGTCAAGACTCTTATTTTCCAGGAACTCGTAAACAAGGAGACGTTTATCGGCCTCAATGCAACATCCATATAGTTTCACAAGGTTACGATGTTGCACTGCAGATATTGTAGCAATCTCAGCAACAAACTGGCTCTTTCCTTGGTGGGATGCAACAGAAAGTTGCTTCACAGCAACCACTCTTCCATCACTTAGTGTTCCCTAAAAGGATAAAAGAAATCAAACAGTAAGTACTGGCAATAGTTCAGAATGGAAAAATAGATATAATCTTTCCGCTATAGTACGAAGCAAGAACAGTAAGCGACATTGGTGAAACTGCTATGACATTTTTATTCTTTACAGTACAAGGTTGATTAAGTTTGAGAAAAATTGATCCAATCATAATTTGAAAGTCTTAGCCTTTACCCCCTCAATCAGAACAGACTGCTAAGATCTGCACCAACCAGCATTATCTTTTTCTCTCTCACACAAGGATAGTATCAGGTAATTGGAATCAGATGTGAATAATACGTATGACAGGAGACAACCATGATTATGACATTTGCCTACCCCTATCCACTCCTTGGCCATTAGAGAAAAACTATACCTTGTAAACAGGTCCAAATCCTCCCTCGCCAAGCTTGTTGGATGAATTGAAGTCCTCTGTAGCACCCCTTAGTTCAGAAAAACTAAATGTGTACGGTCTAGCATCTATTCCTAGGAGCTCTGCCAAAATAATAATAAAAATAAATGTTATTTATGTCACTGTATGCCTCCCGTAATGTTAATCGGAAAATGGGAGAAAATTCAGCAATGAGGGACCAATTTATGTAAAGCATTTTAATATGTGGAATGCAGCAGGATCAGATTCCTCATAATTACCTTCATCTTCATAGGCACGGCGCCTTTTCCTTCTCTGGACAATAATGAAAACTGCACCAATAATCAGAAAGAAAACAGATCCTAAACCAACAACGAGCCCTACAATTAGGCCTGTTCTATTCTCCTTCGTACTTGGAGGTACATTACTGACAGTTGGTACAAAATCTGCAGAAAAGCTCACTAGTTAATTGAAAATGCTTGAAAAAAAAAAGACGCAAAAAAGGACATAAATTTCCATTACTTATTACCTGGGGTAGCACTGATGGCTGAAACAGAAGGCCCATAAGTGCCCTGCTCAGGTATGCAGCAGGTACCTTTCCCCGCCCAAAAAAGATGAATTTCCAGGAAGTTTTCTGTAACTTGAGCCGTAAATTTCTTTTCAACAGCAAGGAAAGACCCACCTGCCTCCCTTCTAATATCAAAATTCTGTAAGACACGATTTCCCTGCAACCAATGATGATGAACTCAGACAAAATAACAGAGCAACAGACAATTGCAAAAAAGAAGGCACAACGAAAAATGAATATCACTTTGTAAAAGAGTACAAACGATGTTCAAACATCAATGGGCAATGCAAACAAATTAAGAATTTTGAGTGTAAGCTCCATGTGTCACTCGCATTTGAAAAACTGAAGCATGCTGCTTGAGATCTTTACTACAATTTAGAAGGGGATGGAAGTATAACAGAAACCAGGAAATTTGAAACCGAGGACGGATGACACTTATTCTTACTACATAAACAAAAATGTAAGTATTGCTAACACCCATCAGACTCAGTTGATGGCAGAAGATTAAAATATCGTATCAAATTTTAAGGGCCAACCATATCCTTAACAGTGTCTCTACTAAGAATAGCAAAGCTGTGGTGTACACCCAGATGCCAGATTCGGGACAATAATTCATTTTTTGCCTCCGCTTGGAACTATGGTAGGGGAGGCCTCATAACAAAGATTATATAAATGAGTAGAGTTAAAAAGAAACCTGGATATATATATCAAAGACACGCCTCCCACGGCTTTGCCATGTATTTGAATTTGGGATAGCTATTTCTGCAAACTGAAGATTCACAGTGTAGTTGCCATTCTCAAGCCCCAGTCCATAGTATCTTAATGATGAAGCAGATAGCCGCTGTGTCTGAAAAAGTTCCGTGTCAATGGTGTTTGGAAATTGAGACAATGTATTGCCTTGGTATCGCGGATTGTTGGAGCCAGTAAAGTATCCCGCATTACTAACGGCCCACCTCTTTGTCCCAGTAACAAAGTACGTAGCTGGACCAAGAGTCTCATTTTCCCTTTCAAACAAAATCCCAGATGAACCTCTTATCTGTGGACCTCCACACTTGATCCCAAAATCAGAATCTGGCATAGATATACAAGATAGGAGTTATGGAAAAAGATATCCATCCGTAGGACAGGGCATTATCTGACTTGCACTAGCCTAATGTCAAATTCCAGAGCATTATGAAGATGTAGAAAAGGGGAAAACAAGGCATATAGAATCACGGGTTTTGAGATTTACATCAGCTCGAAGTTGAACTGAAGTTAACAAAAGTAAGCCTGAAGTAGTTTGTCCTCTTCCACACAAAAACATACAACAAATAAGAAGAATTATTTTTGTAATTTCTACTCACATATTCCACGACCTCGATTACAAGGAAAGTTGCGTTGAAGACAATCCAATCCAGATGGCAAACCACTGAAAGAAAAAGAGAAATGTGATGGACAGCCAACTTCAAGACATCGGAGTTCTCATGACCGTAGTTTAACTAGCACATAAAAGAGATGAAGGATATTAAATCAACTCAATGAAATACCTGTTACTTGAACTGTCAATTGTAAAGTTGTTGGCAACTAAATTACTGCATATCACAGGCAACAAGATTACAACATAACCTTCATCTTAATGTTACATGAGTAGGTAGCGAGTGAGCAATTGTGAGTTTGCATGATTGTAAAGAAAAAGGTGTAGAACAGAAAAATAGCAGTACATTACTTACAGCTGTAAGTTCGGCTGATTGATCCAAGAAGGAAAGCTCCCAGATAAATCATTATATGACAAGTCTCTACAAAATCAAGTGGAAAGGCATCAGTACTCACTACAGAAGTTAACATCCAAAGAAAGGTGCAAAAGGTACAATATGAAAAATGACCATTAACATGTGCAACTTAGAAGTCAAGGTAAATCTTTCAGGTTAAGCTTTCCACGATAAATGATGTAGGCTTATGGAATTTAAACTCATTTTGAGGTAGTCAGATTATTTAGTGTCTGAGACACTACATATAAGCATTCCAAAAGAAACTGTTGCCACTACTTCAAATTGAAAAATCAAACATAATCTTGATTGCATGCCAGAATGAATACGATGCCTTCTCAAAATCTAAATGTCAGAGAAAACGTATTTAAAAATTACCCAAGAGATGCACCAATGCAACTCCTTAATATGAATATTCAAACTCAGTAATCAAGATGTTTGTGTAAGGAAACCCTTCACAAAATACTGATATTCAGAGAAGAAAGAATCCTACGGCTTTACAAAACTCTCCTCCAGCCTACCTGAGAGGGCTGGTTCTCTCCCTGCACAATGCTTTCCCAACACAAATAAAACATAACCAGACAACCCAAGCATATAAGGACTAACTAACTAATTTGAAGGGGGTGAATTTCCTACTCTACCCTTCCTAACATAAGTATTGACGACTATGGAAGGCCTCACCGTTTGATAGAAGACGCATTTCCTTGGAGCATAATAAAACGATAATAGAATCTTTTATATATCTTTGAGATTGTGAGATAGAGAATATTTTATTTGCCAGGGATACAACGTATCATCCATCTGATTGATTAAAAAAAATATTGCTAAATCAGATCCATTTTTGAGGGACATCATCATATTTGAAATCAACATTTGCAAGATGAACTCACATATTAAGAAGAGATGCACTTTTCTGTGTAGGTATGGTCCCATTTAACTTGTTATTTCCAAGGAACCTGGGCAAAAGACAGAGAATATACACTTCACTTCAACCAAGAAAATGGTGGGAGGCAGATAGTTACTGTAGGAAGGGTTGGATGTTACAAGTGTGACAGTAAACTCAAATTGAAAAGCGAGCTTGGAATCTCTCCTGTCAAGTTGTTGAAGCTAAAGTCCCTAAATTTGAAAGGAAACCAAAGTCAGATTATTACCAAAGACTACAAGAACATTTAAGAAAAAAATGTGATATTCAAATAATTGGGATTCAACTCTTTCCCAAGAGCACAAAAGTTTCATAATGGTAAGAAAAAGAATCAAAACAAGTTCCTAAATTTAATGGGTCCTATCTCAATTTATAAGTCAGTTTGAAGATGAGACAACACCAACACAGTTTCCCAAAAGAGCACATGAACACTGTTGTTTCTAGGGAGACTTGGTGAGGTGAGATTATCATACACAAAAGTGACGTACAGTTTTATGAGTAAACTTTGTTTTCAACACAAACAAATCTAACCTAGGTCATTACCAGCAAGTAGCAACAAATCCATTTATACAGTTAAGCATTGACGATGAGTTCTTACAGCTGGGTAAGTCTTTGAAATTCTCCAACGTTGGATGGAATTGAACCTGATATATTATTATTTCTCAACACACTGCAAGAAAAGGGACATTATGATTATAAAAAAGTCTGGGAGATTCAAAATAAACAAATTAACAGCAATGTGACAAAAAGATGGAGTCACTCACAGGAGAGTTAGAGATTTCATATTACTGATGAATGCCAATGAAGAGCTCCCATTGGATAAATCACCTATTCTCCTATATTAATTAGATTATGGTACATTAGCTATGAGTCAAGTGGTATAAAAACCAGTACCCTGAAATGGTTAAAGTTACTCACAACTCAGTCAAAGATGTCAGGTTTGAAAATGTCGATGGTATGGGACCTGTAAAAGAGTTTCCTTGAAACCTCCTACAAAAATTAGTAGATAATATAAATGGACAGATCTTCAACTTTACTAAAAATTGCAAGTAAATACAAACTTCTGCATATCATAGTTAATAGAATAGTCTTTAATCAGAATTTGCAGCATAATGAAATCTTCAGCCGTCACTTAGGTCACCATTTTGGAGAAGGGGGGAGCTAAGAAGAAACATGTTAACATAATTGTCTTACAAAGATGTGAGCCTTGACCAATTCCCGATGAAATCAGGTATTCTGCCAGTGAATTCATTGTCCGATGCCCATCTGTACAGAACAGAGCTTATATCTAAATGATGCACTCTTGGGCTGATAAAAAGTTAGGAAAAGTTGAAGCCAGAAAATCGATTACACTGTACGCAAGTTTCTGAGACTGGAAAATGATTGAGGAATATCACCAGAAACTCCAGAGCTATCAATGTACCTTTTAAGGCGAACAAGATTAACAAATTATCAGTATGATGGATCAATGCAAGGCAAAGTAAAGGTAGATCACCACGACGAAGTGTAACCAAACCCAAGTTATAGTCAAAGATTGCAAGAGAAAACCAAAGTCAATTTAGTTTTTAAGATTCTTGTATCAAGAAACTCACGATTATAATAAAATGATCATGACCACAAATAGGCAAGTACTATGAGTTAACCCCAGGATAGGGCACTGCTGTGATTAATGAGTTTTTTCTTTTATGAAAGTTGGTTTAGTTTTCAGCTTTTTCTTTTTTTTTATGTCTCCAGCGTTATACTCTTCAGTAACTGAAGTTTGACTCTCAAACATCTTAACTTAGGTATGCAAAAATTCAACATCTGAAGTTCAATTTATAACTTTTTCAGATTTAAATTGATGAACGTCCAAAAAACTGAGGACAGCCACATGACTATTCCTACAGCACATTAGGCTTTTATCCAATTTTTTAGAAGATCTGATATCAAGCATTCAGATTTAGTTGTTTCAGGCTAGCAAAGGCAACCTCGTAAGATTTGCAGAAGTTGAACATGATAGAGATAAAAGACATGAGAACGTTGAACTCAAGAAGGAAAAAAAAAAACAAAAAAAGGCATGTGGACTCTTTTTGGGGAAAAAGAGAGAGAGAGCTTACAGTTCCTCTAGCATAGAAAGATTCCCAAGCTCTGATGGTAAGGAACCAGAGAAATTGTTGGACCCAAAAGCCCTACAATATTAGTCAAAACCCAACAATTAAATATGTTCCTTTGAAAATACATACTGCTGCATGACAAATTATGCTAATGATCTGCCTGTGTAATTGAAAATGAGCTTCATAGATCTCATAAAAAGCAATGCGATCAGCTAGCCATTCATACGTCTTCCAGAATTGAGAATAGACAGATAACTTACAATAGTCTCAGATTAGAAAGAGATCCAAGTTCCTTTGGCAGTTCTCCTGATAATGCATTAATGCCAAGACTCCTAAACATAATTTGGTTAACATTTAGAAAAAGGATGGAACTTCTTAACATTGATCTTTGATATAATACTATGTCACTTGAGGTCTCTGAAAAAGGATATGGATTGTCTTACAAGGTTCGTAATTGTGTGAGATTACCAACAGATGCAGACAGCGTCCCTGACAAGACATTTTGATCCAACTTCCTGAAAGAAATTTAGTTCATTTTAATTGCATGTGCTACCACTAAAAACCTACTTAATGAGATATCGAGTATGTATATATATGTGTGTGCATGTAAGGAAGAAAACATACAGAAAGGTGAGGGAAGTTAACGTCCATAGCTCTGGTGGGAGTACACCAACAACATTTATTGCATAAACGAACCTGCAAAATCAGATAAATAAAATGAAAAGGCAATGTCAAACAAGAACGTGAAAGGATAATTAGTTTGCTAATAGAAGGAAATCTGTTCTTCTCTGATCTTTTATTTCAAGCAGATTTTAATCTCTTACGATCTAACAGATTCGTCTGGAGGCTAGACATGCAAGCAATATGACGGGACTAATCTCCTGTATAAACTGATTCTTTCTATATCGGATGACTATTGCAAACTTATTGATATAGAAAATCTTTTTCCTGCACGTCACATCCTATTTTCTAATGGTCCATCCATGTCAATACTTAAATGAATGAACTCACTAAAAAGTGGTTAAGAACGACAAAAGCCGCACCTAGAAGCTAGTTTTATTAATCAAAGTGATTCGGGATTTCCACAAACTTTTTTCTTTAACTCCACAATTGAAACCCCTAACATTCGTACATGGAGAACATGAATTCTTAAGGCAAGCGTAAAGAGAAATAGTTCGAAGTGCTGTAGCTCCTCCAATGCAACGTGGTAGATGCAGAGAGAGAGAGAGAGAGAGAGAGAGAGAGAGAGAGAAATACAGTTCAGTAATGTGGCAAGTAGCGCCATTGTTGGCCGAGCAATCGCATTTTATAAACGGATTAAGGTTTCCACCAGTTTCGATAGTGGTGGTGGTGTCGACCGCCCTCCCACTGCACAGATTCCCACTTATATTCCAAGCCCCTGATGGCGCCGATATACGCCATTGTCTAAATATGGAATTCAGAGCTCTTGCTGCGTACAAAAATTCCACTCAGAAGTCAGAACCAAACAATTCCAATGCAGTTGTTTGAGTAAATTCTTCAGCGTTATATCAATATACTCGTTATTGATCCTCAGAAAGATGTATACCAACTTAATTCAAGAACAAAATAACATGTTTAATTGGATACTGGGAAATCAGAGCATCTAAGTAGGCTTTTTGGTTGTGTGTAAGGAAAGGGAAGTGGCGTGCAACATGGCCCAAGAGACAAGGCGATGAGCAGCTTTTCTTTCATGTCAAAATTACCGAAGTATGTACTTTTATTTATACACCCCGCTACATAATATATACCTTAAATCGCACAGTTTCTTCCTCTGAGAACACTCAAGTTGGGAAGGGAAAAGAATAGAGAGAGAGAAAGATAGAACCTTCAGCAGGATCGGTGGTGGGTTGAGTTGAATTCTGAGCTTCAGAGAAAACAATCAGGTGGCTGATGATGGAAACAGTAGCACAAAGAGCAAAGAAGAAGAGTAACAACGGCGAAGACGCCATGGATATGCAATTGCAAGCTTCAGTTACAGACTGGATTATGGATGCGAGTGAGAAGGAGGACAGGGGAGAATCGGAGATGATATATTTTTATTGCAATCCTAAAATCGTAGAGATTGACATAGCCATCGCATTAATGGGATATACTTGACCAAAACCATGATGACAAAAACGAGACATATGAATCAGAGTTGAAAGAGAAAAGGGGCATGTGGGAGATATTGAGAATAATTCAACTTTGATTATCTTCCAAACAGCAAGTTGCCGATGTAAAATAATAATAATAATAATAATAAAATGAATATGGGAAAGGCAGGTGGGTGATATGAATTCAATAGTTCCAACTTGAACTTCAAACTTGCTTGTCCTTCTCCCCACGTGGTTCAAAGATGAAAGGGAGGAGTGGAATTGGAAGCTGGGTTACTATTACCGTTAGCCCGCCGCCGCGGTGGCTCAGGCGTAGCCGTCACGACCACTTCTCCAGCGGGAGTCCGGTCCAGCATCAACGACGGGGAATTAAAAGAAGAGGGTAGGTGAGGGAAGGGACCGAACGCGCGAAAAATCCAAGGGGAAAGGCGAAGGTGTGAACAGAGACACAGAGTTAATGGTGTTATGAAAGGAAAATGAAGAGCAAATGCAAAACGTCAAAGTAATAATGTTATATAATATAAACCTCGTTGGCAATGGGCGTTGACGATTCAAGCTTGGTGGCTGAATGGCGTTGCCGTTGTCAAAAATTAGAACAGCCTGAACCCCACCACCACACCAGGCAGGCTCAGGCACCACTTTTTTGCTTTCTCTCTACTAAACTTGTATTGGGCCGCTTCTCCTTCTTCAACTCTCCCAACACAGAATCACTTGTCAATGGGTGTGATTTTGGCCGATCACTGTATATGACAAATTAAAAAATTGAGTTCAAGGTGTTGAGAGAAGGAAGGAAATTCTGAACAAGAAAAATGATCCAATAACTTTGAAAGAATGGGATGAAGAGTCCCATGAGATGAAAATCTTTAACAAAGTTGTCACACTTAACTTCAGGATTTGAGATTTATATATATGGTATTGACCATAATTTACAATGACATCATACTCTTAGTAGGAGGAATGGTTAAGAATTTACTCGATGACTTTAGAAAATCAATTATACTTCGATCTCTCTTTTTTAATCAATCCCTCTCAAACATACCAACCTTCTTCCTGCTTTTTTATCTTTTACTTCACTCTCATCTTCTTTTTCTTTTATTCATACATGGATTAGTATTCCTTAATTTTTTTTCTTTTATTTAATATCTATCACCAATCAATTACAATTTGAATTAAGCACAATTCAAGTGGTCACTGTCAAGCATAAATAGCTCCATTATTGATAACTTGTAGATTTGAATCTCTCCTCCTGTATTAATATATTTATTGGATCAATTTATACATGTATGCGTTGTAAAACTAAGTACGTACACGTATTAGCTCATCGTCATATCCTTGATTTTCACCCTTTTTTTTTTCCTTTGACGAGGCAACCTTGATTTGAACTATATGATTTGTTAGGTATATCATTAATATTTAAACTTAGAACTTAGGTATATCATTAATATTTAAACTTATAACTTATACTATAATAATTATGCAATCACCTCATTAGTAGTTTTTATAATACTATACCACCATTTATCCTTACTGTTTTTAAACAAATTAGTGGAGATTTAAAAAATTTAGAACCTGCCTGGTTAGCGATCTAAACACAAAAATCAAAACAATAGATTCAATTAAAACATTTTCAAATACGTGTTTGGTAGCAAATTTAGAAATTAAATTTCAATTTACAATTTTAATAGTAGTTGCCAACTAAATATTTAGTTAAATCTAAAATAATATTAATTGATTATTTACATTTATTAGTTTTAATAAAAATGAAATGATTTTATAACATGACATAATATATTTGTCAAAAATAACTTTTTAATGTAATTATGCATTTTAAAGTTTTAAAATCACAATCTAAAAATACTATAAAACAATAGTTTTCGAAAATAAGTCTATCGAACATATATTCACTTAAGAATCTGGATTGCATACCAAAAAGGCTCTTAGATGTTGGGTTGCAAATTCATTTTATTTTTTAAAATTACAAGTATGAAAGATACAAATTACATATATATGAATAATATATATAAATGGTTGTTGGGTAACGCTTCCGTTTCTTATTTCTGTTTCTTCATTTAATAAATAAAATTAAATTAAATTGCATGACTTTTAATAATCATGATTCTAAAAATTATAAAACAATATTTTTATTTATGTCGGAAAAAAATAAAAAGGAGAATAGAAAACACTATGATTTCATAAGAAACAAGAAAAATAAATAGCCAACCACTCAAGTTTAATAATAAAATTGGAAATAACTAATAAGAAATAGAAATACTAACAAACCCAATTTGTTTGACTTCCCCTTTTATTTTTTTCTCCATAAATTCAGGAGGTTCCATCTACACATCCATAACCATGACCATTACTGCCATATTGTACACTGCAACTGTAATTACCTCATTGCTTCTAATGGGACTGCACGTATCAAAACCTTCCATCTTTTAAACAATGAATTTGAATCTATCCGCCTTACTTGTAAAAAAAAAATTGCATCCACATAGAAATTTCATTAGACACCTTCTTTTTTTCTTAATTTATTATCAACCATCCATTCTAAAATTATGTTTGGGAGTACTTTTAACATGGTTAAAATATTCACTCAAAATCATCACGTTTTAAAATAATTTAAAATTATTATTCAAAGAAAAACAAATTGTTTTAAGTGTTTTACAAGATAAATGCTTAACTATAAAACACTTAAAAAATTGCTTCTGAAAAATTAGTGTCAAACATCAAACAGTTACACCTTAAGAAAGGGAAAAGGGCAAATATTGGTGGATTGCTAAGCTTCTGTGGTGGGCTGGCTGTGGACATAGCGAGCATGGAATCCAATCGGCCGAGGCATAAAGCCCACGCACACGCAGCCCCAACGCCGAGCCCACCACACCAACCACTCCTTACTCAGGCCCGCATGCCTCACTTAGGCCCATACCATATATAGGAATGGAGTCCAAATCTCCTTCTATATTTTATCCCTACAGATGACCGTTGACAACTATATAACATAAACGGTACAGATAAAGTGGGGTCTATGCCTACAACATTGGAGATTAATGGTAGATTTAAACTTCAATTTTCGAGGTAACCAGCACACAGACACTACACTAGATATGAGGAAAAGAGCAGTAGATCGATGGGGGATGAATTTTCTGATATCTCGATTGCAGTTTTGTGTGTTGAATTTCAGGGAATTGGGGGAAGAAGAAGCAAATTATATGAGGTAGATTCAGATTGGTGGCAGAGGGCAGAGGGCAGAGCCATAATTTCTGGTCCCAATTCCCAGCAACAGCAAGCAAGCAAACCGGGCTCCACCCTTTCAGATATTTTTCCCCAACCATTGAACATCACAGTATACGTACGTTTATACTTCAAAAAATTTCCCTTGACTCGTCTGCGTTGGGCCCACACACAAACCGGATGAAAAATTCCCCCCAACCATTCAACATCCTCGCCAATCTGCTCCCTTTCCACTGCCACCTAATGAAAGCTTATCTACTTTGAAGTTTCTTTTTCAAACCCCAAAAACGTCAAATATATTGTGCAGACTCTGCCCGAATTGCAATTTAATCCATCAATAAACTCAACTTGCTCATTTAAGTCCAACACTCCCTCCATTCAAACTTGACCCACCATGCCCTCGCCTTCTTCAGTCTTCACTTCAGCTAAAGCCGAGCCCCTCCAAAAAGGCTAAAAGCTACACAATTTTGAAAAAACAAAGTCTCTGACTTTTTCAAATCCGACCCACTTTACTAGTTAAGTTAGTAAGTAGACAAGTCAAGTAGTAACGCTACGAATAGTAGTAAAAGTTAAAAATACAGACCATAAACGGTCGCTTTCCAGGACCAGCGGGAAAAGCAGAGAAAAGAGGCTTCTGCTTCGCATTGGCTGCCCTGGCAATGTGGATTTCCGGGTCACCATGTGTTGATCCTGGCCTGTAATGGCACTACCAAAACAAAACCCCAATATATGTATATATATATTTATTTACGAATCACCTTCTACTTTATGGTTTGCTTTTGTATGTCAAGCTGACGCTGATGGGTCTTTTTTTCCTATATCCGTTTTTGGAGCCTTTTTGCTTTTTAGGTCTCGTAGCTGAGCTGCTGAGGTGATTTCCGTACCACTCCTACAAGGCCAAACTTTCTTTTTTGCTTTTTGGGGATAACAGTCAGTGGTGGCTGCCAGTGCCCACGTCCGAAAGCACAAGGCTTTTGGAATAATTGAATGGCCATTTTGATTTCTTCTCCTTTAGTAAAAGCCAACTTTAAGACAAAAAAGCACACTCTTTCTGAGCTTGGATAGCCACTATAGAATCATCCATTTGCCCCTTTTGATTTTGCATTTGCTCCTCTTCCCCTCCCTAATTATGGTTTCCAGACAATTTTGCTTTTCCTCTTCCCTTTTCAGATAATATATATTGTTTTTATCACTCAAATTCAAAGCGGCCTTAAAGAAGTTCTATGGCAGAAAAACAGCAAGAATGAATTGAGACTCAATCGAATTCATCTGACCCATTTCAAAAAATAAATAAAAATAAAAAGTTACAGTATCAAGGACAGTGACATGGGGGTCGATGTTATTTAATTTGTGTCAAGTTGCGTAATTAATGTTAAAAGGTGTGCATCATATTGACATAATCATTGTACCAGCCAATGGAAAGGAAAACCGACCTGCTCAAATAGGAAGGATAAACGCCTAATTAGTAATATTAAAGAAACTTTGTACATATATAAACAAAGAGAGATTAATTTGTGGATTTATTATAAATGAAGCGAGAGCTCGTAAAAGCAAGTATTTTTTAAAGCTTCTCACTCTCAAATTTGTTGTACTAAAAGGAAAGGAGAGCCAATGGGGCGTTGGCGTAGGCATCCGTACGTTATGGTCTTAATCTGATTCTGATTGACACCTCAAGTTGGGAAGTGGGACTGGGATTCACGTAACTTCCAATATATATATATAATCTCCAAAACAAGGAAGAAAAAGATGCAAGCAAGTGTTGGAATGCAAAGTTTAGAGTTTCGATAATCCCAATCCCATGTACGTAAGAATTGAGAAGGATCTGTAGCTAACAATATTTATTGGTGGACGTGGAAGTGGAAGTGGAAGGGTTTTGTTTAAGATAAGATGAAATTTGGCGGACATAATTAAGTGTACAAAGAGGAAAACCTGATGATGTCATGTGGTAGAGCCGATTAGGGGAGAGAGCAGTGATGGCTCTGGCGTTGGCACTGTGGGTCCGATTGGGGTCGGCGGTGGTTGTTCTTTTTCTCATGTCATCTCATCTCTCTGTACAATTGACTGTACGGTGCTACGGAACACGGCTTCATTCCACAAATAATATATATATACTTCATTAACTTAACTTTGGCGATTGGGGAAACTTCAGAATAAAACTGAGTTTTCCTTTTCCAACAAAAGGAAGGGGAAACAAAGGATATAATATAATATAATATAAGATTTGGCGAAAATTCCGAATGGAATGGGGAATTTGTGGAACTGGAAAAATAAGGGCGGGGGGCGTCGCTTTCCTACTAAAATACAGCATTGTTTATTGTTTAGGCTAATTAATTATATAGTATTGTATGAGTTATGACAACCAAATTATATTCTCTTTTGGAATGGAATAATATTGAATTGCCAACGGAACAAGGAGTAGGACATTAAAATTCTTAGAGGAAACGCGTGGCGGTAGCGGTACCATGTACATTAAAAAAAACACAGAAAATTATAAATTGAAATAAATTGTTAGTGCTGGGAAGTGGGAAACGCAACAAAATGAATGAGAGATTGAATAATTAATTAAATGTGAGGGAATTAATGGGCGTTTAGTTTGTGAAAGGATGGGATTTGGATTAGTACTTAAGGGCCGGGGAGACGCGTAAACTTAATAGAGATCAGAGAGATTTCGATCAGACTCAGAGGGACAAAAGAATGCGGTTGGGGCAGGGCTTCCCATTCTAATTAATTTCTTTTTTCTTTATTTAATTGAGGCCCGAAATGCCACGTTCACATTCCACTGGAAAAGCGAGTCCCCAAACCCGGCCAACATGCCAATTGAGAGGATAAGAAATTCCTTTTTTTTATTTTTTATTTTTATTTTGATATTGGGTTTGTTTTGTCCCACCCATACCCAGCGCATATTCGAAGACACCGCACCGCACCGCCTTTAGGCACTCGGTAGGACGCGCTACAAAATGGAAGCCGCGCGCCGCTCACCCAACTCGACCACTGCCATTGCCACTCAACTCCACGATACATATACTATCTTTATTTACCATCATCAAATACAAATATCAATACCAATACCCAAAATAATATATAACAAACCATACAAATATATTTTATTAGAAAATATTTGACTCTTTTAACGCTAATAACTAAATCCTCTCTTCGCCGTCATTGAAAGATTGACAACTCATTAATTTGATTGTAAAATAGTTACTTTTTTTCTTTCTTTCATTCCAAGTATTCAAATACTAACCTTTTACTCACTAATTTAATCTACATTTCTACTAACCATCCTAAAAATAAAATTCTTATTTTCTTTTTATAGAAGTGCCAAATTTAGATAAATCAATTAATACATTCAACGATAAATTAGAAATTTTCAAACAATAACAATAAAACTGAAACATGTGTTGTCATCAGAAAAAAAATTGCATATTTAGCCTTAAATTAGTGAATGATACTAATAAGTCAACACACAAAAAAAATACAAAATAAGAACTACTTAAATTTGCTGAGAAAAGGAAAAACAAAGCCTTAAATATAAGAGTTTATGATATTTCTTAAATATAAAATAGTAACTGAAAGGGAAAAAAAACAAGAATTAATAATGGAAATATAATAATGAGGAGGGGAAGGGGAAGGTGTGTGAGTGATTGTACCAGGCAAGTACTCTTACCTGTACCTCTCTTCTCTCTTTCTCTTTCCTCATCATCTTTTTATTTATTCATTTATATTTTTAAATTTCTGCCTACAAACTCCAACTCCAAATTCTCGCCTCTTTCGCCTCTTTCTTCACTTCTATATATATTCTTCCCATCTCCTCCCGATCTCCACGCTCTCTCTTTCAAACCGAACCAAACAGATATTCAAATCTCAATTCCTTCTTCGTAATCCTCTCTCTCTTCTTCTTCTTCATCAATATTCAGGATTCAGATCAATCATCATGAAGCAGTTGATTCGCCGCCTTTCCCGAGTCGCTGATTCCTCTCAATATTGTCTTCTCCGATCCGACTCTCAATCCGCCACCAAACTCCGCCGTTCGCGAATTCTCCGTTCCGCCACCGTGCCTCAGGGCCACGTCCCCGTTTACGTCGGAGAAGAGATGGAGAGGTTCGTGGTCAGCGCTCAGCTCCTGAACCACCCGATCTTTGTGGAGCTCCTCAACAAATCCGCCCAAGAGTACGGCTACGAACAAAAAGGCGTTCTACACATTCCCTGTCACGTTCTCCTCTTCGAGCGGGTCCTCGAGGCTCTCAGACTCGGTGATTACGCCTCGCCTCATCTCCAAGATCTTCTTTCCTCCCTCTCTCCAGACCTCCACTCATAGCTTTCTTGTATTTTTAGAGAGATTGTTCTTTATTTTTCTGTATATAGGCTAGGCTTTCTGATTTTGGTTTTTCTTTTCTCATAGACAATTAGTGTGTCAAAGGGAGTGATCGAGGACAAAATTTTTAGCTTCTTTTTTCTCCTTCCGATGTAAATCCACAAGGATACTACATTCTCTGTTACGGACACCGCTTAACCGCAATTTGATGATCAATCATGGATTATTGCTTTTTCTCCCCCAAATTTTCTCCTTCCTGTTTCTCTAAGTGGATCTCCAAGATTCTGGGTGGTTGGTGTTTGTGGTAATCAAAACTAACGAGAGGTAACGTAAATTGTAAATCTCATAGCCACAATTACAGTTTTCGTTGCATTCTAGATAGATTCTTTAATATTTTCGATTTCGCCCTAACAGAGATCGATCTTATTCTGCAATTCACCGGAACACAAGCAACTAAATGGAAAGAAGGCAGTGGCGAAGTAATATTGCTAATACGACGAGAAATAAATCCAGTAGTCTCCGATTACCTTGATTAATGACCGGCCGGCGGCGTCCAGGGATTCGATTCCGAGGAGATCGAAGATATCGTCCGGCGTCCTTTCGCGGTCTGAGAGTCGCAGCCGCCGTGGGATTCGGCGCCCTGCCCGTGCCCTGCTAATGTTAGAATTGAAATTTTACCCATAAAAAATTACATCCTTTCATCAACCAATTTGTCGTCAGAATCTAAAAGAATATTGTTTTTCTAAAAAATCCATTACATTGATTTCGTCACATAAATGATAAATATGATAAGATAAAGAATTAAATAATGATATTGATTTTTACAAACGGATTTAGTAACTTAATTAAGTGATTTCAAGGCACTCCTACCTCTTTAGAGGGATGTCCATATATGTGATACATGTTTATATGAAATTAAATTAGTATTAAAACGTCACTTTACTTTCAACTACCGCTACTACTATTGAAAGGGTTAACACATAGGCTTATGATTAATATCGACAAATTATAATTTAAATTAAGTTAGCAGATCATTGTCCTAGAAAATCAATTATTGTTGCATTGAGCTTTTGTTAGTGTTAGTTGAAATTTGTCATTTGTGTGTCAACTAGATGCAACTTTAATGACTAAGACAGAAAAAAGAAGAAAGAAGAAGAGAAATCTCCTCTTTTTCACCAATTTATTTGCTACTTAAAGATTATTAATTTTGTGGTGGGACGGAGGATCGTCCTTCCAATTTGTTTTTGTGTGGTGGTTTGATCGGCCATCGCTTTTTATATTACAAATAAATAATTATTATGTATCTTCTTCTTCTAATTCAAATTAAAAATTGTTGTGCTTAACTTAATCATTTATGGAACTCATGGCCCACTCTGTACATTACGGCCATAATTAATGCAATTTCTCACTCAATAAAGACGAGCAATATTCACAATTTCATTTCCCACCCAAACAGCTTCACCACTGTCCAATACCAGCTTATCACATGGAATGGAACCATTGATTTTCTTTCTCTGTTTCTGTTTTTTTAATATAACAAAACAAAACAAAAATCATCAATCATTTTTTATTCAGGACTTTGACGTATTAATTTCAGGAGGGGTTTGGGATAAATAAACAATCTGCCTCTTGAATTCAGTGAGTCAAATTTCCAATTTCAGCCCTGTAATCTGGGATTAACAATTCAGTAATCTAGCTAATGTTGTTGAAATTTTTGGTGCTAATGCAAGTCATGTTCTTTAAGTTCACTCTATTCATTTTAAATTCCTGGTTTGACCCAATTAGCAACATCAACATGGTGCTTAATTTTTTTCTTCTTCTTTCTTCCTTGCAATAATTATAATTATAAAGCACCTAATTTCATACTTACAATTATGATCATTATCTCAATGCATTGAATGTCAGCCACATTTTCCCAACCTTCAGAATGTGGATTTCTTTATTGAAGATAAGGTTTTTATTCTTTTATTGATGATATGTTAGTTAGAGAAGATGCATTGCCTATGTAACTTCAGTTATCACATGATATGAACAGTTAGAAAGGCCAAATCTTCAAATCATGGAGCTCATCTCTTCTAATCATGCAACATCTATCTCAATTAACCCTAATAATCAACACTAATTGTTGTATGAACAATAAGATAATCAAGGAGTGGACGACTAAGTATATGGTTTCTGTACATCATTCATTAAATATCTAGTGATATTAAATTTCAGGGAAAGCTTTGATGGGTCAAAACATATATAATTAAGAGGGCCATCTATAATTATTATATATATGTTATGCATTCACACACATATTTTTATATAAATTTGTAAAGAATATAACAACTTGTAAAGTACATGATTGAATGAGGTCAATTTTAAGAATTAAAAAACCCATATTCTCTACATTCACACACATACTAGTATTTATCATATATGATGGATTAAAGAATAAGCAAGAGAGTTTAAGAAACTTAAGAGAAAATGAATAATTGGATGAGAAGTCACATCGATTGTAACAAAAATAATACAGAGGAGGCCATTATTAGGGGCGGAAATAATTTAAGCGTGCTTAGGTTTCGAACAAGTCACGTTACAAGCAAAGGGAAGAGAGAGAGAGAGAGAGAGATGATTGGAAGGCACCAAAGTTGATTATATAGCAAATATAATATGTTGATTTATAATGACCAAAAGAACTGCCAACAAGACGACGGATGCTTATTTATAATACTTTGAAAATGAAATCCCTTGATCTGCGCTGTTATATCACATGGTGGGTGTACTATATTTTTTGTATATTCGCTCATCATTATTGTCATCTAATCTAAACACTAGAAATGGTAGAGAAAGGAAAAAAAAAAATGAATATATTTGTGTTCACCAATTTCGAGAAGCCGAAGGTATTTATGCTGAGCAGAATCGTATTACTTTAACAGCGAAACAATCTTCTAAGATCCGAGAGAACAGCCATGTACTACAGAGGAAACCCATGTGGATTCTGAAAGGACTCACATGCCTTACATTTATTTTATTTATTTATTCCTTTTCTAGGAAAAAGAAATATCCTAAGTTGGGAATTGATTGACATGCTGTTGCTGTTGGTTAGCCGATCTCTTTAATGAGTTGTGCGTATGCTCGGAGACAATCATTTGGTGAAGACTCGATGCCATACGGTTGGTTGTCATCTACGCGGTCTGAATAATAATATCATTTCCAATTTAATTCAATCGATCAACTATAAATTACAAATACAAATCATTGTCTGTCTACTGAAAATTCTTCTTCACCCGCTCAACCTCAAGTTCCAGAGATTGCTCTAACTAATGTTGCTGCGGAAGCAATTGAACTTTCTGCTCTCAGAATCGACCACCATTTGTTTCCTTCACTTAAATGGACTCCATTTCTTCCAAACTTGAAGAATTCAGAACCAGAATAAATTTAAAAAGGAAAAACTATCAAAATTTTTTGCCTTCACCATTGCTCAAATATTTCTTGACTTTTTAGTTCTTTTCTTCTGCCTTTTGTATTCTTCATATAGCTGCAAAGACAGAGTGGTGCGGCCCAAGTCGGCCCTCAATCTTTCGTTTTCCTTGATATCCCGGAGAAGACTGAATCTTGTTGAAAGCTTCTCCTTCACCTCATTTTCGTCAATGGCACTGCACGTATCGAGAGAAGACTGAGAAGACTCGCTACCTCTTTTTCTCTTGTTAGCTTTTCTGACGTTAAATTGTGGGTTGAAAGACTCCTGTTCCAACGACAACTCTTTGAAAGCCTGTTGAGGAGAAACAGTGGCGACATAAACTTGGTTTTGAGCATTATTCATGCTTGATATGCTTGCAGCCATTGTTGAGACAGTTGGATGATAATGCTTCCACAGAAGATCAAGTTCCCAAAGAACAGATGCAAGGGCACCACTTAAATTTGGATCGGAGGCATACGGCTGATATTTCTGCATATCAAGCAAAAGTTAGTTTATCTTCTCTCTTCCCTTGAGTAAAGGATACGCCGGTATCGAGTCAATAAGTTCAATTTCAATGGCTAGTACAAAATCATTCAATGAACTATACTAGAACTGCAGAAAAGCTACATACAAACGCTTTGGTTAAATATATTTGTTCTCATGTTGATGAAACATGGGAGGGTGAACATTATACCAAGTCTCATTTTAAAAAAATGGGTGTTCCAAAATGTTGTCATATTTTCAACTAGTAATTAATGTGAGACATTACCGCAACTGAGCCAGATACTGAGCCTCCTCCAGCATCATTTTCCAAAAGGTTGCGGCACTTGATATTTTTCTGAAGAAGATGCTTTACGGTGACCAAGGCTATATTCCATATATGTTCATATGGTTAAATAACAGTAAAAATCATGATAACATTTTTCATACCAAAACAGACTTCAGAAGCTTCTTAATATACCTGCCAACGACTCTGCGGATCCAAAGCATAATGAGAAAGTAGCCAAACGCTTAATAAATGCAGCTGCCTTTTGCATGTCATGCTGTCTATCATCGCACAGCATTATCTTCAAAGCTTCAGCTAACACTTCACCATGATCTCTGTGAGTGAAACTTGAATGTTATTCAAAATAATAATAATAATAAAAGGAAAGGGATAGCAGATAAGAGGTAGAAACTATAAAATACTAATAGTGAGGCCCACCCTTATTGATAAACAATCATGATATCAAGGGAACAGGGAATTAAAATTGCTTCATAACAGGGACCCCAAGGCAAGCCCCCCACCCAGCTGGACATTAAATGAACTATTGCCCTTAAGATTATAATCAGAGTTGTTATGATTCACATGTGGATAAACAAGCAATGACTGAGAACCTTGAAGAGTGGCAAATACTAGTGCACTAATTCAAAGGAAAGTAGTTTCATCTGACGTTCAGGTAATGATTGAATGCCTCACTAATAAATCCCAGTGTAAGGCCAGTGATTTTTATAAATATTAGATTATCAGAGAACTTGTTTTAAACAAAAGCATAAATATCAAAAAAAAGTCTTTGGAACAAACACTAACGAAGCTTGCTTTGAGAGAAACCAGCAACAATTTTAGCATTCTGTTCTAGAGTTCAAAACTTAGCATTCTGTTTTAGAGTTCAAAACTAACCTCCCAGGCCTGTACTCGAGTAAAATATTGTACAGCTGGACAAAAAAGTCCTGCAGATCAACATTCAAAGCATCAAGGTTTTTCCTCATTACTTTAAACGCCACAATGCAACACTGAAGACGCTCAGGCACAGTCAAACATTGCGACTGTTTCTCAGAAGAATTATCACCACCAGAAGCAAGCCTTTTCAGATAATTCATAAGATCACCCATGAAATCTAAATCGATGAGATGTGAGAATTTCCCCAATCCATTCAAACATGGAGCAAGCAGAGGATGGGATCCAAATGGGCTAGTGGTAGATGCAGTAATACTTGCTTCAGGCCTTCAAAATAAATGAAAGGAACATGGTTCAGCAATCTGAGTTATGGAAGTTAAAAGGTATAATGAAAAACAATTAAAAATTCACGAAGAAAAATGCAAACACACCAAAAAAGTTTCATTGATCAGTCACGCATGTGATCCAATTTTATTTTTCAAACTTGGGACAGTCAAGCAAACTAGGATTCCTCACATTTCTAGGGTATTGGGCATGGCCACTCCCAGTCGAACTAAAAAAGGAAGATTCCCTAATTGATGCAATGATCAAACCATTTGACTCAAACCAATATAAAAAAAATAATGATAATAAAAATAAAAATAATAATAGTAATTAAAAAAGGAGTTAAAAAATACTTCTAGAACACCTATTTTTCTTTATACGTGCAACGTATATGAAAAGTCCAATTAATTTAAAGTATAGATAGAGGAACACCAAGTAAGAGGCTCCATGCAGTCTTGTTCTCTCTCACGCATGCACAGCACACTAAAATACTAGGGAAATTTTTATGAAAGATTGAATTGTGTGAAGAAAACACACACGTACCAATATAAACGTACAAGCCCTACACACCAAGAACTTACTTAGCAGTAATTGAATGCATTGTATGCCTTAAGATCCGAAAATATGTTTCAAACACGGCAGAGAGTGTATCTGATTGCATCTCTCTCTGCTTCATCACATCTGGGGCAAGAGAAGCAGCCCTGTAATCAGCAGCAACCTATGAGAAACATAACAAACATTGGTCAATTATCAGCTAAAAAGATGTCAAATCAAATGAGAAGGGAAGAAAAACAAATATTGGGCAACAGTTATACCTCTTCTGTTATCTTTGTCCTCATACTTTGTCTTCCATCATTCCCTTGCAAATTACTTGATTCCTTGCGATTCTTTATTTTCTTATGTTTTTTGTTCTTCACTTTACTATGTTCGTCTGTCTTTTCTGCTTTCCCCAGATCCTCGTCAAATGTTAAATGTCCGAAAGGCTGATAGAAGTTGTGAACAAGAAATTTTGAGAGAAAAAACTAAACGCTATACCCAAAGAAAGGAAAAGCCCACTTCAAAGTTTTGTTCCAACAACAAATAATATGTGCCTTACATTGAACAATCAAGTTTCTAAACAATTTAACATTTGGAAACTACTCATAAAATAAGTTTCAATCACATTTGATATCTGTTTCATTAAATCAGGGATAATTCTCTCTATATACTATTATAAATTTTTCAATGAATGACTTGGAAGATAACAGAAACACAAATTACAGCTAAGCTGAAGCTATTTAACTTATGCCATCCCGACCCTGATTCATAGTCAAAGAAGAAGAAGAAGAATGAAAGTGGGATCAGAAAATGATTCTCAAACCTCGATGGAATCAGGGTGTAATTGGCAGTCATGATATTTCACATGGTTAGCAATCAACCGAACAGCCTCCACAGTCGCTTCACCACCATGCTTTCCCTCATTGATAAATAAAGACTTAATAGCACCACAACAAAGTTTTCTGCCAATTCACAAATATCATTTGAGAAGAAAGGTTAGTGTACTACAGGGAGGAAAAAAAACCAAAACCCTATATCTCAATATAGCCAAGGATAAGAACATCAAAATGCAACACTAATGAAACCATTTCAGAACCTAGGAATGGAAAAAAGTGTTAAATATTATATACATGATAAAAGAAACTAAATGAGCAAATCATTGATGATGTGGAAAATCCATAATGTGTGAATGCTCTCAGACTATTTTATTCTTAAAAATTTTTACAAAATTTGGTGATAGGGCCTAATATACAATTTCTTATTCCGATATTAGCTCATGAGAAGTGAGGAAGATAAATTAGAGAGAGAGAGAGAGAGAACAGCTATTTAAAAGGCTAACCTTACAACATCGTCAGGGGAGCTTATGTTTTTCACCACTATACCTAACAACGTCTCCCGAAAGTTAAAGTGGGGAACTGCATCAAGCAAAGTACAAATACAGCGAATAACTACGTGCTGAAATGACGTCGTCTTTTCTAATGATATTAGCTTCTGTAGGTATCCCTGTAAGAGTGTATTCACAAAGATACTAAGAGATTCCAAAAGTAAGATTAATAATACCTAAAAGGAAATAATCTTTTTGAAAAAGACATTTAGATCCCCAATTATTCAATGCAATAAAATCAAGATTCACGAAGCTTAGTCTACACTTGCAAAGCATCTATGATCAGGTGTCAGGTACCTAACACTTAAATTGAAAGACTTGCCAAAAAAGTGTCACCTACGTAATGTCAAAATAAGGTGCACTTCATGAATGATATCATACAAAGATCAAACCACATACCACTAATGAAACAAGGGACTTGGTTGAGTTAAGTAAAGTAGATTTGTGTAAATTTCCATTGATTTTGATTTAAAAAATTGTTTTACTGAAGAACTTCGTTCCAGTTTCCATTATCACTGGAAGACTCCATGTGAAGATGAAAATGAATAGGAGCACAAACCTTATAAACAGTAAGAAGAGTGGACTCATAATACCGCATTTTCTTAACATCCTTGGATACTTTCATTTCTAGCTCCTTTTCTGTGGGAAGCCTAATCCGGTAACTGTATAACGCATCCCCAGCAGATTAATTATCAAAGGGTGCAACTAAGACAAACAACACAAATATACTATGGAAATTTTAAAGAAGAAGAAGCAAGTTCCAAACCCAGGTATAATGTCTTTAAAAACAGCCAATAATGAGAGAAGTCCAAGTTTCACAATTGCTTGATCACTATCCTTAGCAATCTGTAGCATCTCCTTCAGAGATTTAATATTGGAATTTGGATCTGCCAGCAATTCAATTCCTAGCTCTGCAAGTTTCTGCTTCTTACTTTCAAATGCCTTTTCAGCAGTGAGATCCTCTTTCACCTCGGCCTAAACAGAGAACGAAATAAACAAATGAGATCAATCAAATGGTTTTCTGGTCTATAATTATGAGACAATTAATGAGAAACACAATGATCAAACATACAATTATTGAAGGGGAATCCTATACGAGGTAAGGCATATTGAACCAGCCACCAGCGTACATAAATTTCGCCCTTCAGGACAAGAATGATAGTTAATGAAATTCTAATGTTTAGTCCGGGAGGATATAAACTACCGTATAAAAATATCAAATGATAAGACAGAATTGGGTGGTGACAACCAGGCCACTGTTACTTGCTACTAATGTTTTCATGAACTTACCTTTGTTTTTTGATACTGGCAATTGGGGGTCCGTGTAAATGTTAGTTTTTCAGTAGTCATGTGCTCGGAGTGGCTATGGTTTTTGGCCACTTTTGCTTGTTTCTTTTGACTGAAAATTAGTTTTCTTTTCTAAAGAAACTGAACAGCAGGATGTTATGCCAACAATGTCCAATTGTAATCACTTAGCAACTAACACTATATTATGGAACAGTGCTATGAATAAGAAGGAAAGTGAAATTGTTGAAGAATACCAGAACTGCTGCTTGTGGGGTTGGTTGAACTTCTTCAGCTTTCGTTAACTCCTCTTGTTTCTTGGCAACCTTCTTAATTTTTTTCAGCTTTGCCCTCTTTTCTGCTTTGGTTAACTTCAATATACTATTATCGACCTGTTCCTCATCGACTACCCCATCCTTCCCATCATTTTCAGGTGCATCGGATGTTTTTGCTGCATCAAGTGCGCATGAAGAAATTGAATACATGGTGATGTGCAAAATAAGCCGGTAATAGAAAAAGATGGAGAAAAAAGTATGATATACATGTTCGGTAGTAGAGTTTCCCGTCAAGTGTTTTGACAGGAAGGGCATCTACACGATGAACCTGGAGCTTATTTTCCTCCTCGGGCTTCTGCAGTGACTTCTTGCGCAAACGTTTCTCGTATAATGCCTCCAAAGCATCTTCTTCAACATCAGCAACACGCGTAACATGCCTTCAAGAACAACAGATTGAAATGTTTAGTGGACAGTTGAGCAGACAATTTACAGCACGTAAGTAATCTTCATTCGGACGTCCTAAGAACGACAATAACTACAATCTGTATACAGTCTTGTATTACAGCAAATTTGACACTTCCAACCACGTAACTTATAATGCAGCGATAAATTAAATACTATCCGAAAAGCAGGTCATCGAAATTGAATACGGACTTGGTAATGGATTGAGTGTCTAGACCGGTAACGAAGCGAGCATAGTCTCGGTTCTTGTTGACAAACTGCAAGTCCTCATCGGAGACCTCAATTTCCTCCTCGGTAACCTCTGGTGGAAGTTCCGGCGGTAGGATTACCTTCTGTTTCTGGTTAGCGCTCTTTTTCCCCATTTCAGAGACAAAAATGAAAGCCTCCTCGGAGGGGTGAGAGATTACAGAGGTTTTTAGGGTTTAAGACATAAAATTCATATTCTGGAAGGAAACAGAGATGCCGCGAAATATTCGCAATTCCTCGCCGGCCCATCCAGCTTGATACTAAACCATCGGCTCCGGCCCAATCCCATAAATAAAACTTGGGCTTATTTTCAACCGAAATTGGAAATAATATAATGAAAGAATTTTACGTCTTTTAGTATAAAAAATGTAGAAAATGATCATTCAAGCTTAGCTTAATTAGCACCAACCAAAAACTCTTCCTATTTTTATTTGGATACGGGTTCGAACCTGGATCGTAGGTGTCAACATAAGCATTTTTTTCCTATTTTTATTTACTTGTGTCAACGAACACTATAGTATTGTAATTATTTTGGAAATTAATATATTTGGCATGGTGAATACTTGTACATCACTTTTCTTTTAGTTCCGTCAGTTTTATTCGTAGAATATTTGTCTGTAAAAATATATATATGTTTAAAATATTTAGTGTAAGTTAAAAGAATTCTCAATTTGAGCATAATTATTGGTAACTTTACCTTAGATTTTGTATTTTTTTGAAACAGTAAAAAGATACATAAAAGAATTAAAATACCAAACGGAATTCATGATGCAAGGAAGTTCTAATATAACTAATATTTACGACTAAATAGAGTGGTTGAACAAGGGTTGTTCACTAGATAAAAATGCATATTATATCTTTATACGTACAAAAAATATCTCATTCAACTATATGTATGCTCATCTCTAATCATATAGTTTGATTAACAAATAAATAAATAACAGCTATTGGTTTCACCTTTTAGTAAAATTCAAACTAAAACTAAAATAAACATTTGAGTTAAAACTTAGTTTTTTTTTCCCTGAAGGAGTTAAAACTAAGTTGAAATAAATGTTGGATGCTCCCAAATTTTTGTTATATTTTACTCCTTTCCCGGGGTGTCACCTGATATATAGTCGGTCCATTTAAAATTTAATTGGAAAATGGAAGCTATCTTTCTTTTTCACCAAATCGTACATATTAATTAATGCAGTTTTGGATATATCTTATGTAATATTCAAACGTTTCAAATAATGAAAAATATTTCACATGAGAATTTGAAAGGAAAAATATACGGAGGGCCCATTATGTACTATATATGTGTGAAGAGTAGAGTGACAATATTATAACTCTTACCTTCACACTGATTCAATTCTAAATTTTAGGACTACAATTTCTCAAAAAAAAAAAATTTAGGACTACAAATTATAACTCTTATCACAGTTATTCAATTCTAAATCTTAGGACTACAGATTATAAGATAATTTTTTTCAAAATATTCGTTTTTTTTTTCTTTTCCACTCCTCTCCGTGGAAGAGCTTGGTATGAAATATAACAAATAACGTGGGAATAGTTATTTTACAAAATACAAGCCACATTTTTTTTTAAAAGGAAAATACAGGCCACTTGTCGTTCTGTCTAATTGCATCAAAAAATATATATAATTTTTAAATACAAGTTTAAATAGTTTCATGAGATTATTTTTTAAGTGCGGTAAATTAGCTATTTAAAATTGTACTAAAAAAATAGTTATTTTCTATTTATAGAAAAACGGATCGGTAACTATTAATATTAATTAGTCAGGAGAATATACTGTTAAGATATTTTTTCGAATTAGTAAAGAATAAGGACATTAGTGTTTGTGAAATTCTATCACATAGACTCTATATTCAATATCAGGAGCCTGTATTTTTTATGCATATTTAGATCTAAGACTAAATTAAAATCCTGCTAAGCAAACCATATATATTGGCCATTTATCCAATACATATCACATAACAAATCTACCTACCTTTATATAACAACTATTAATAAGGCACAAAGGGTTGTAACCATCAAATAAAAACTAATACTTCAGATAATAATATAATACTACCATTAACACACGAAATACTACCATTACGAAATTTAAAAATACTAATTTTTAAAAGATATATACACACACTCCTCATATATATTTAGGAAAAAGGATAAGAGAGAAGATTGATATTTTATAATGTGAGATAGAAGTGTAGAAAAAGGTAGGAGGGGAGGGTATGAGGCAAAAATAAAAGCGGGTCCCGGTCCCAGTCCCAATCATGAATTAATGTTGGCAATGGACGTTTCTAAGGCATTCTCGTAATTGTCCATTCCCAACATTAAATTCCGGTCTTCCTCATAAATGCTGCGAGTTTATTTAGTTGAACTAACCTTACAAGTTACAAATATGACAATGACGCCAATTAACTTAAATTAAATAATAAAAAAAAAACCTCATCCTCTTATTAATTATAAATATCTTCATTCCTCCCACATTAATTAATACACCACCCAACCCATAATCTTTTCTTTTCCGGAAAACAACCCACCCACCTCTCTTTCAAGACTTTCATCCTCATTTTTTATTTTTTATTTTTTGTTGGAGTAAAATTTGTAATAGATTCAAAGAAAATTTAAAATTTAAAAATTCTTTTTTATATCTAAACTTTTAGAATATATATATATATTTGTTCTTGTTTTAGTTTACAGACTTTCAATTTGATTTTTGCGCACAAAATTTTAAAATATCCATTTATTGGGTCCCTAATTAAAAAAAATCATTTTGTTCCTTGGTTGAGATGGTAAGTAAATAGAATATATTTTATAATTTTATAATTATTAGGAAAAATAATAATTAAAATTGTATATAATTTAAAATTTTTAAAACCAAAATACAAGGGAGTGGGCCCGGCCCAAGTCCATGGCGAGAAGTGAAAACAGCATTTTACCCAAATATAAATCATAAACATTATAATAATATCTTTTTTAAAAAAAAAAAAAACATTATAATAATATCATAATTTATATTCATCCACATATCTTACATCCAACTCACCCTTTAATGCAACCCTTTTTTGGCATCTCCTCCTCCCTTGTATAATTATAACAATCCACCTGCAAGAATATACACAAACACAACTTCAACCTAGCTCAATTGTTCAAGGTATATATTTTTTACTAAAAGATCGTGAGTTTGAATTTTCACCCCGCATATTTGTTCTATGAAAAATTCAAATGAAAAGAAAACTCGAAATAAATGAACTTGATTTGTATGGAATGTACGTGTATAGTGTTGCCTTGTATTAGAATCAAAGAGGTTCGGACCGGGTCTTTAACTTATAACTTGTTAAAGAATTTCTAAAGTCTTCGGCTCTGAGTTTGATGGATTCTTGGTTATGCAGCTTGATGAAATATTCGGTTTGATTGGCGAAATTTGCAAGTAGATGAAGTTCGTAGTTTGATGAAGTCTTCAACTCGTTGCTTGACGAAAAGAATATTCAATTCTCGAAGTCTCGTAGTTTTCGATACTTCAAGTCTTCAATTCTAGTTGGCTCTTAGTGCTTTGCTTTACTCTAAATAATTGTAGACGATTTTGAATGCTATGGCTCTGGATATTCAATTATCCTGGGTCCTCCAAATGAGAGGTGACTCATATTTTATAGAGTTTTATTGGGTCTTATATGGACCATATTCTCATGGGCTTAACGAGTTTGAACCCAAGTCTTTATAAGTTGATTCAATTAGCTAATGTCATTGGAATGTTGTAATGAAGACACATGACATAATTCGATTTGCTTATTTTATAATTAATTTAGGACACATGAAGCATTGTGATTGATTCAACCATCATGGGTGGTCCATTGGTCCAAAGGGGCTAGGGTTAATTAAAAGAAAATTTGTGCAAATCTGATGATGACCACCTACTATGTTTCCCAAATGTTGTAGGGTCAGATGGTTGTCCCGTAAAATTAGTCGCGTTGCACCTAAGCTGGCTCGGACACTCGTGGATATCAAAAAAAAAAAAATTTGTGACTGATTCTAAATATAATTCCAAAATAATAACATGACAATTAACCATTTGTCAAAATTTATCCTTACCCCACCCTAATTACTTTGTTTTTCACATCAATCTCTCTGTTTCTCCGCCTTCCATTCCTTTACTTCTTAGTGTTTTTATATTATATAAAATATCATGACTAACATGATTTAGAGAAAATCTTCAATATTACAATGTTAAGCTAAAATAAATGTATTTGTTAATTAAACAGTTAAATATTAATAGAAGTAGTTGCTAATATAGTAATAGATATTTCACCCTTCATTCATCAATTTGAGTGGCTCTTCTCACAAAATTAAAATTAATTGCACAATACAAAACACATGTTACGTACTCTTGCAAATTTCTCAAATCATTTGGTAGATGCATGAGTTTTATATGGAATACCTAACATTCAATAGTTGGTGTCACATCTTAGTCTTATAAACATAATTTTCATTTAACCAATAAACAATACAAAAAAATTAATTTAAAGCTAGATAATAGATGTACATATACATTGCATTGGGAGCAGAGCACGTAACGAACAACAAAGACGGTTGTCTCAATCTTAGTTCGTTTTAGATTTTAAATAATATATATATATATATAAGATTTTGAAATGTTTAGTCCTTGCTTTGTATTTCTATTTTTTTAATTGAAATATTGTATATGTGTAAAATTTTT